TCATTATCAGAATGTATTCAGTATATATACGATTTAGTCTAGGAATGTTTTTTTGTATCGGGTTTTTACATGTTTATTTCAATCACTTAGATGTTAGTTTATTTGGCATTTGAATTGTGGTTTTTGGTTCTGTGTACCTCACCCCATTATTTAGGCAAGGATCAAGTATTGAATATCGCGGTTTTGGCTTTTGCGGCACTTCCCAAGAACATAACCCACCACGATATTCCACGATCTCATGTATGTTAATATATTCGTAATAAATTTCAATCGTTAAATAATTTAGATGTTAATTTCCAACAAATACGTATTCAACCGCCTGCTTTGAATGTATACATGAACATGTTAGCGTGCATGTGTGTGTACCCAAACCGTGGTGTGCCAGCCAATTTGTGCACGTACATCAGCGAGTGTACAAGTCTGACTACAAGTCTAAAACTGAATTTGAATGCTTATTCGTACGAATGTGCAAGCCTGCATAACAGTAAGTAAAATGTGTGAGCATGTGTGCATTAGTTTATCTTGCTTACGTGTGCCCTGTGAGCGCGTGACGAGCGTCTTGCCCATGTTGCGGATGTTGAACATGGCTGGTGCCTTCACATCATACCAGTCCTTCTTGGAAAAGGGGTCCACACTGCGACAAAATATACACTCGGTTTTAGACTGCTGGGGCAAGTCCTTTGAGCGAACACCTATAAAGGCCGGCACAGCATACAAAGGAGTTGATGGTTAGCACCACACCCAGCCGCCTATGTCTCCGAAGTAGTAGCATCAGGTGCTCATTTTAGGCGGTGCACCTCGGGACTGGTTCATAGAATCGTCACTGGCCTTAAGCGGGAATCGAACTCGGGTCACGGGGTTTGAGTTTGCTGCTCGGCGCGTTCAACCGCTAAACAACCAGTCCCCGCACTGTGACACACATGTACACATACATGGTCGAGGTACACACACACACACGTCTCCCTTACAGCCTATAGGGGCATGAAGGTGCGAGATGAGTAGCACCTCATCAGGCAATCTTTATTGTGCATGAAGAATCCAGACTGTCTGGAGAATTCCCATGCAAACGCAGTAATGGTACTGCAGTTTAACCCGTAGGCTTTCGCGACCAATATCATCCATAATAGAGTTTTTTTGGGTTAGATCGCGTAAATCTGTCGTTAAAACCCGCCATGTTGTGGCTTCGCTCTCCAACACACCGGTGTGCTGTACTAGTGACGAATACAACCCTTACTAGTTGGCTGTGTCGGGTGGTGGCGGGTTTTAACGACACATTTATATATTTACGCGATCGAACCCAAAACACCTCTATTATGAATAGTACTGCACTTCAAGGTCTGCAGACACAAATAATCGATTTACTGTCTCAATACCATCTCCTTGCCACCTCAGCCCACATTGTTTGTAATTCTCTAGAATGTGACCCACTAACGCCGGTCTTCAAAGACCAGAGAGTGAGCTTCCACGCACGCCCACCTCTTGAAGTGCAGTACTCAGCCAAATGTTCGATGTCCTCCACAGCACGTCAAAACAATTCGTACTCGTGCGATTAAATCTATTACATTCACAATGCCACTGGATATTAAATACAGTACTGTAATTGTAACTTCAACGTTAATACATTAAACCGTAAGGTGCAATCCAATGTATAGCACACAGGTTATGATTGCGAATCGTATCGACATTACTCATGACTCCCAAGACCTGCATTTTCACCACCTGAAAAGAAATTGTACTTACATCGCGTTACAATTTGGGCCCGTAAATTAGTCAAAGAATCAAAACATTATCTAAAAATATTCGATCCCAATTATCAGTGAACTAGACACCGGTTAAATTTCGATTTAAAGCTTTCGTGACTGCAGGGATTCATCTTCATGGTTCTTTCGGTAAAGTCACGTAGACACCGGTTACTAGCAAGTCCCTCACCACCTCGTTTCATCACCCACGTGCAGCTCACTACATATACTGTATACAGTATAACAGGTCCTTGCAGGGTGGGCTGGTAGGAACATTGGAATTTGTTTTACACCCAACAACACGAGATTTCACTTCTAAAGTATTGAAAGGGGACGGACACATTAATCTATTGCAGGCTGGTACACTCGGTTTACAACTTCGTTCCTACCAGTATAACTCGATGATTTAACACAATCCACTCAAACACAGCACAACCGCGCGGGGCACACTGCACTTCTTAACAGTACAAGTTTTACTTACAGCCACGTGCAATTATCCCCTACAGCCCCAGCACGGACGAGAGGCCCCCAACTCACGGCGATTACACCTTACGAAAACAAACAGCAATCTCATCGCCTAACTTCCAAACGCAGACCACTGATAGTTGAAAACCCTTCACACGTGCGGTGTAATTTACGACTTAATACAATGCACTCGAAAGCAAGATGTAGTTAACTAAATTAACAAAACACGCAATCACCCTTTTCACTGCATACAACTCACGAGGACCTCAACATAATTCATTACCTACTTCATTGCACCGAGTTATAATTTTATTAAAGTTAATCCAAAACAAGTAAATGAAGCACTCAAGTTTAAATTAGGGTCCAGTGCACACCCGACTCACCCAACAACCATAACACACACAGCCATAGCAACGTCACCATATCATATGTCAATATTAACGTGACATTTTTCACTTCATTTATATTAACCATCGGCCGAGAGCAGACGAGCACTGGTGGAGGGGGGGGGGCGCATTGCCTTCGCCCCCCCACCTTCCCTCGTTCAATCCTGCACCGAGGCAAGGCCGGGACCCTGCGGCCTATCCCCCGCAATCCACCTCGCATCGCCGCCATCCGAAACCGCGGCGGCCAACGGAGCGGCGCGGCGCTCGGAAGGGATCCCCGCCGCCGTGTCCACCGCGTTATGAGGCACTTACATCTTCTTCTTGGCGCCCTTCTTGCCACCCTTGGTCAGACGCTTGTTCTTGCCGACCGCCATCGCGTCGCGCTTGAGAACCGGAAAGGGAGGTCGCGGGTAGCGCGCGCGGCCTTGTGGGTAGGGTAGAGGCGGGCGGGAGGGGGGCTGGGCTGGACGTGACGTCACCGAGTAGTGGCGACTGCTCGAGTGGGCGCCATCTTTGCAAGGGGAGGAGGTACTTTGTAGTACAGTACGGGGCGCCATCTTTCTAAGGGGAGGAAGTAACTGTATAATACAGTACTGGGCGCCATCTTTGTATGGGGGGGAGGTACTGTACAGTGCCGTTTTGAGCGCCACCGTTGTAAGGGGAAGGTACTGTACAACACGATACAGGGGGCAATGTACCGTCAGTGCTGCTACTGTAAAGTACGGTGTGAAGAAGGCCCGCTTGCCCGAAACGTCGCCCATTATATAGTTTTTTTTCAAGCCAGTGCAATTGACGAATGTGTCGATTATTTGGTGTAATCAATACAGTTAGAGGAGTAACGATTCCTCGATTAGAATCGTAATTGTACACGGGACACGCGGCATCGTGCACCTGGGGGATGCACCGAGCTTTCGACGCTTTACACGCGCGTGACCTCAAAGTGCACCTAGCCTGGCACAAGCGTCGTGGTGGCAGTCACCGCTACTGAGTGGAGAATGGTAGCCGCTGGTGTTGTTGTTGTTGTATCGCGCTTCGAGAGCTGCAAGGAGTCGGGGCCCTCTAGCGAGGTAATTGGAGGTGAGGGTAGGCCAACGAATTCAAGGATAGAGTCTCAATTGAAATCGCGAACTCCGAACCGCTACTCAACGAATCGGGTGTGAAATATTATTCCTACGAACATTTGAACAAGTTCGTCAATACCACGGTGGCCTAAGAAAGGGGAAAAATATATAATAGGCGACGTTTCGGGCAATGGTCCTTGCTTTCATTACGTTGAATCTTGAAATAATCGCGGAGCCTCAACTCGTCTTCAGTAGGGTCGTGTCTCCGTTATGCAGACGTAGCTCCTTGCAAAAGATGTATATTTGGTGTTTGAACATCTTAACACCTGCTTTAATTCCTGAAAGGGTAAACGCGATTCTTATTTTTTTCCCCATGTTTGAGTCAATGGAGAGGCACGCACGATTACTTGTGGTATATCACTTTGCTGTTTATTGTCAATAAAAGGGGCTCACTTGTCCATCGTGAAATGCTTTCACTGCGCAAAATCGCGTCAACATGTTTGCACGTATCATTACTGTACACATTGCGTTACGTGTAATTAATATTTTGTCATGTATTATACATCATTGGGTAAATCGCACCCCACGTGTTTGTGAGTGTCTGATGCACCCTGAAGGGGATTTTTCGAGTAATTGAACATTTGCTGCCGAAAGACTCTACGACATCTATACTCTAGCCTGTATTTGAGGGGTGTAAACATATTGGGGGTCTCGATCACAAATAAATAAACGTCTAACATGCTTTTCGTGGTTACACAAAGGTTAGCTCGACTTAAATAATGTCCAGACCCCGCGAGTTTATTCCGTAGACATGAATTTCACACGCTCGCGAGATGCACACTCTCTGTTAAGTATGTCATCAAGTCGTGTGGCGATGTAAGTATCCCAGCAGCCTTGCATCAGTCTGCATGACAGCTCGTGATGAGGCTGAGGTGCACATCGCAGTGGGGTGCTCAGTTGCGGTGCCAAGGCCCTGGACGGCCACCAGCGTCACCCCCCCCACCCACCACGTGCCGCGGGCTGGGTTGCCATGGAGACTGCAGGCACACCCCCCCCCCTCCCTTAAACTTGTAGAGGGGATGGGGGGCACTGAAGGGGGTGCGGGGGGGGGGACTGGGGGGGGGGGTGAGGGCACGGGGGGGGGTGACACTGAAGGGGGTGAGGGCACGGGGGGGGGACTGAAGGGGGTGAGGGGGGGACTGGGGGGGGGTGAGGGGGGGGGGGACTAGGGGGGGGGGTGACACTGAAGGGGGGGACTGGGGGGGGTGACACTGAAGGGGGTGAGGGGGGCACAGAAGGGGGTGAGGGGGGGGACTGGGGGGGGGTGAGGGGGGCACTGAAGGGGGTGAGGGGTGGGGACTGGGGGGGGGGGTGCTGGGACGAGCGAGGCCGGTGAGGCATGGAGGTTGATGCTCAAGGTGGTTGTGTTAGTCGAGTTAGTTGATTCGTGGGAGTTCGTGTGAGCTTGGTGGGAGCTGGGTGGTGATAGGTTGGGGTTAGTTAGCTCGTGTTGGTTAATTTGGTGGTTCGTGGGAGGAGAGTTCGTGGTGGAATATGCAAAATATTTATAATTAAGTGGTTCTTGCCTGTCCAATGTTGTTGGGAGTGTGGGCAGTCCCCGACTTCTGCTGAGTGAAGACTAAATCAGAAGCTAGATTTCCACCTCTCCCCAACACCTATTTATTGATTTGCTGTGAATACAACTATTAATGCATGTGTATGTATGAAAGGATATTTGAATGCTTCTTTCTTGACGTGTCTTGTCAATGCGTACACACGTCGGTGGATGCAAGTACTGTACGTGTGTAAATGTTGGTGCATATGAATATGCATGTGTTTACATGTATGCATCAACTCCATTATTCACAATGATCCAAAGTCACGGACATTTACAAGCACGTACATGGGTAGTTTAAAAAAAAAACTACCCCACAACGTCAATATTAAAAGGCTCCCATTTGGTGAAAAGATACTTAATTTAAATGAATAATGGTTACCAATGCCTTTTTACACAGCCACTGAAAGTGCTTTCAATTGGAAGAGAGTTTAATGGATTTGTACATAGACGAGGGTAATTTTAGAGTAATTGTCACCATCAATCTTCAATATTATTTTCCACACCATTTCATATTGGTTTAAGGAAATTATCACTCTTTGCCATTCTCTTACAAGTTGCCAGTTACTCTGAACAAATGTGTTTATGAAGCCTGCCAATGATTACCCTCAAATCCCCCTCGTGTAGCACACACAGCCTTGCACAGGTACTGAGTGGTACTTTCCTGTTAACAGTGGTTCTAATCAAGCTTGTTCAGAATAAAACAAATCTGTCCATAATTACCACCCTAGTGTAGCCCACGCGCACAGTATGATCGTGCACGTTTTCATTTTCGTCATCACAGCTGAATATAATAAAAACATCAGGGCAGAGTAAAATTGCTGTGCAGCCTTAGGTGGCCAAGTATAAATGGGGCTCTCCATGTGCACAAATATGCATTTACCATGAGGGGTGACTTGGAGCTTGAGCCAAGGCTCTCAGATATTTCTGGCTCAGTGCCCAACGGTGATTATTAAGAGTCTCGTTAGGAAAGACACCCAGTCACAAATATTGAACTCAGGTCCATGGCAGTGCTGCATGAGTTCCTCAACGCAGACATTAGAAACCCCACGATGGATGCCTCATTTCCACGGCCAGTGGGAACTGTGTTGGGTCTGTGCATGCACTGGGCTGGGCCCATTAGCCTGTGTTCCCATGGCAGTCCAACCTGGCCGAACTGATCCCATGGAAATTGAGCCCCCTGGTTCTCTTAGCAACCCTTTGTCTATGCTTATAGCCAGACTGATGCTGGAATTGGTCATGCTGTCGATTCTTGAATGGAATTACAACGCCAAATGGTGAAAAGTCTTAAAATCACTGGGGGACAATTTTAAACTGCATGCTCTGTGCAGAGGTGAAGGAGTTGGTTGGGACATAGGGGAGGGGGCAAGCCCAAGGAACCTCATGGCTCATGAAGCATGGGGGCATGGACCCAGGCCCTGGTGCTGTGTCTGGGCCAGCACAGCCAGGTTCACATTAGTGATGGAAACGAGGTAACATACACAATTAGCCCCATATCCTGAGATCAGAGGTGAGGGCTCATTGTTCGGACGTGGCCATTATGAGCCCCTCACTTGGCATCATCCCCTTCGGGGACCTTGTCCGCTGACTTCTTCTTGCTCAGGGTCTCCTGGAGGACGCTGAGCTCCTGATAGTGATCACGGGACTCGCGCAGAGGATGCACCATTGTCTCTTCCATCTGTGGGAAGAGCTGCACGCGTAGGCACACATGGACACGCACAGATCAACACGGGATGAATGGCCGTGCTGGTGATGTACAAGGAACCGCCTTACTAGTGTGGAGGCTGGCACTGTGGGGTGGATTAGAACAAATAAGAAAGGAATGTGATTTATTTGGAAGCGATAAAAATGTAGTTTTTTTAGGAAACTAAAAAACTCTATTCACCACAATTTGAATTTAAGTATTGTTTAAAATTGATCACATCTCAATGTGCTTTACAGAAAGAAAAGTGAGCATATTTATTTTACAGAGAGGCAGTTACAGGCAGAGGAAAAATGGTAGGTATTGAGGCAAGATGTGGATAGTGGTAGGGAGTCTACAAGGAGGATGTCCACCGCAGAGATGAAGTGACAAGACAATGATAGTGACTGTGGGGAGGCCTTTATCCAGTAGTGGATTGTTATTGATGATGATGCTGTTTCTACTACTTTCTATGGTGACGATGGTGGATAATGGTAGTAGTAATGTTGATTACGTTGGCAATGATTTTGCTTACACTGATTCTACTGGTTACAGTGCTGCTGATGGTGAATGGTGATGATGATTGTGAAGTTGATGACAATGATCTTTGGAGGGCATTCATTATGCAAGGCACCTGGCTCACAGCTTCGAACAAGGGAATGAGGACAAATGACAGGAAGCCGATCTGGGCCGACGGCTTGGTGACCGTGTCGCGGTCCATGAACGCGGCGAACGGGAGGCCCTCCTGCTTCTCACGGTCACTCTGTTCACACCATCACCACCACCATCACTGTCACCAATATCATTACAATCGCTACTGTCTTTGCTGCCCTTACCATCACCATGATCATCACCAACATCACCACCATCAATACCATTTCCACAATCATATTTACCATCAACACTACCATGTTTACCACCATCAACATCATAGCTATCATCAACAATAACACGACCACCATTAACACCTTTATAATGGTGATAGTGATGATGACAACGATGGCAGCGATGATGACACAATAATGTTGATAACGCTGATGACGATTGTGATGATGTATACCTGCATGAAGTACTCCTCCAGGAGGCAGTCAAGCCATGGCTCAGAAACCTCCATGGGCCGAACCTCGTTAGAGATGTCACAGCACTTAATGAGCATCATCTTCAGCTGCTCTCACACGTGCACACAAGACAAACGTTCCTTGTATAGCCTTTAACAGACTGTTGTGGCAAATATTGTCTGCAAGTTAATGAATGACTACATGAATGAACGAGTGAGCTGCCTCACGACTTTCATGTGTTCCGGGTTGCCGAAGTCGAAGTCCTTGAGGTATTCCCTGAAGGAGGCGAGGATCTCCCCATGTCGTGCCATGTCCGTGGACAGAATCAGCTCAATCACTCCCTGCCGGCAATACGGGGTCGCACAGAGTTACATGGGGTACACGGGGTTGCACGGGATCACACAGAGTCACAACAGGCAAATACATCCCACTGAGAAGCCTAGAGAGAGGGTGAGTCTTCACTTCAGATGCATGACCTGGATTAAAGTCCCGACTGTGGATTCTCTTTTAATCTGACAATTAAATCTGGCAATTAAACCAATCTGGCTCTTTACCCCATGTCCTCTCATCACAGCACATTCACTACTTGGCGCAAAGCTCCTTGGTCTGTTCTGTGACCTCTTAATGCCTTCATCACACTCAGGTCTCGTAGCAGAGACAATGGATCTCCATAGGAGGATGGCAACCCAAGAAGGTTAAAGAAAGGACCATATGCAATCCCCCAATGGATTGAATGAAGAATCGTGTGCAAGGCCCCAGTGGGTTGAATACAGGCGTGCTGGTGGGCCCACCTGGCGGATATGTGTAAAGGCATGGTGCGTGACACCAGAGAGGATGTTGGTCTCGGGCGTGGACAGAATGTGGAAGGCCACGGCCGCGTGGTGGTTTTCAAGCGGCGAGACGTCGTTATAGCGCACGGCCAGCTCTGTGCGGGCGTTCACCTGGTACCTGGGCATGTATGCAAATGCACATCATACCGCAATCTACTGAGTGAAAGATGTTCGTCTTTCTGATTACAACTCGCAAACAAAGACTGAACTATGCCCTAAAAATCTGAACAAAATCTATTTTCCAAAACGCGAGTTTGGTGTTTGAAAGGGCTTAACCTGCCCGGGAGAGCAGGCAAAAGTATGAATCAAGTAATGGGTTGGATGTGACTCAGTTTGACAAATGGTTGAATTATATTTAGAAATTATTATCACACTCTGTTAATTTGAAAAGTATTTGTTTTAATTGGCATCACACTACCGTTGATAGACTGAAACATGTGCATCATTCCACATTGAGCTCTCGAGAACCGAAACTCAGTAGGAGGGTGTTAGTTGTCTTAATACCACGGTCCATGACCACCGAAAGCCAGGGTTTTTTTGTGAGCGCGTTCGACAGAACTGCCAGCCCACGACGAGGGTGGGGCACATGCCCACACCCATGTGCTAGTTAGTGGCTTAGAAGTGGATCAAAGCAGCAGGTGCCCCACCGCTTTTGCATCACGAGATAAACCCTGCCCACTCCCAGAGCCGAGCAATCAGCCTGTGATTTGTTATACACACGCACACCAACACACGCGTGTGTATGATAAATAAGTGTGCACTGGCCGGTGGTAGGAAATGCCACTGTGGCCACAATAGGTCCCACAACGGTGCTGGGAGACCCTGGAGCCCATCTCCATGTGTGGCCCCGAGTTAGTGGTGAACATTACACATTCCTATGGCGAGGGCCTGCATCCTCACAGCAACCACACTGCTGCTGATGGCTTTGCCTTTTGTGTACATGCACATATGAGAGGTGTACAACGCGTGTACACATGTGAATATGAAATGTGTAATGTACATGCATATATGAAATGGTGTGTACAAGTGAACGTGTGCACGTGTATAAGAGGCATGTGCATACGCACGCGTTGTTGTATCCAGGGTGGTCCAGGTCGTGACATGCGGCCGCAATCATGAGGATCCCTAAATCCATCGCAGTGAAGATTTCCTACATTATCACCATCATCACCAACAAAGACATCACCATCATCATCATCAACATTGTGAACATCATTATAACATCATGAACACATTCATCAATATTATTATCATCACCACTTTCTTCACCAACCGTCATTATTACTACCACCACTGTCAGCATTACCATCACTATCATCATCAATGACCATCACAAGCTTGACCTCGGTGATCACCATCATTACCGCCACCAGAATTACCACGGGCACGTGCAGCACTAGGACATGTGCTCAGATCATCAGCAGCCTCACCTGCAGGTTGCAATGGTGGATGACGCCGTACATCATTTGAGTGACACAGAAGCAGTGGCGGAAGTTGTGGAAGGGGTTGTTCCGGTAGTTCTCTTGCACTGCAAGCTGTGCCCCACACAGACATATCCCCGTATAGCCACACACACACACACACGTGCATCACAAGTTCACGAGCTTTGAGAGGAGCGACACAGTCATGTCCCCTTCACTAACCCAGAGGACACACGGAGGGAATGGAACAAGGAGCAGACAGCACTGCATCCCTCCCGTCTCAGACACAAGCCATTGGACGCTATCGCTGCCTCTCACCAGCCATCGCTTGAGGGTGATGGGGTTGATGTTGAACTCAGAAACGAGGCCCAGGTCATGGAACATGTGCTCCAGGCAGCTCAGCATCTGCAAGGAAGGACATCGTCAATGCCATCAACAATATCATCGACATGTTTATCATCACTGTCGTAAACATGATTAAACCTCGCATACATCAGAATCTTTAGACTGGAGGAATCCGATGAGCTATGAAGCTATTTTTCACAGACGTCCAACAGGACATCTGTGAAACTCGGAAATGTTACTTGTTTTGAGCTTCTCTCCCTTCCCCTGCCACTCCCTCAAATTCTCTGTCAACCACCGTCCCCAATTAATTTGATTTTACCAGGTCGAAAATTCATCAAATCCCCTTATCGAGTTTCTAGTCACTCGTTGATTCCATGGCTCTATCTCCTACTTAGCGATTTTATTGATGGGGTTTATAGCTCTGAATGTAAGATTACCCTTAATCACACACCTCACCAAAGTCACAAGCCATACATTTAGAGTTTTTGGGCAAGATTGGTAATGGAATACTTTCAAAGACTCATTTTGTATTGTTTTTACAATTATAGTTCTGCCATTTCCCCAGTGCGATCGGTGCACGTGCACTTGGACACGAGCATGTTGCTGTAACTGCCTAAACAGAATTGCGGTGCCCTTAATGGACCGACTTTCCCACTTCTTCTGTTAATTACCGAGCAACGTCAATTTAATGGATTGAATGTATCCTTTATTTAAATAGCAGATGAAACAAACACTTGAAACTGCATTTACTCATTTGCAAAAGCGACGACGAGAAGGGATGTACCTCGTTATGCTCCCATTGCCACACGTCGAATGTTGGCTGCTTGAGTGCATGAATGGTCTCCTGCGACAGCATGTACTGAGGGGGTGCGGAGGAGAAGGGAGGGAAGGTGGACATAGAAACTCCCTTTATCCGTTCTAGGCTTCTTCGTCAAACGCCTTTCACTCTTTACATGCATGAACCACACCTTTCCCACCCCCAATTGCTTTTCCATCAGCAGCTGTGCCATCCCTTAAAATTGTAGGTGAATAGGACTATGAGCTCATCTAAAAACTTCAACTCGTTTACAGCAGCCCAATAAAAATGTATTTTGCAAGTCTTATAGGAATTGTGCTATCGATGTGATGTCATGAGACTGAGTGTCCTTTCAGGAGTTACACAGAATAGTGCAATGCAGTGTGTTAGAGAATCACACATCTACTTCCGAGACCCGTTCCAGTGATCTTTTAAAATTCACACTCCAGGGGGCACACTATTCACACAATGACTGCTATGGCATCGCAGTCCAACCATTATATTAATTCCCAGGAGTGGAAATTCGGCAAATGAATTGCAAAAAAAAATGCAATATGGTGTTATTTGTTTTCAATCAATGGTGACCACTGACCAGGCTTTAGACCATCAGCTCGCTTCACTTTTGAACCCGCTTTCATCATGGGTGGCTGAAACCTGCATGTGAAGGGAGCATCTTACTGGTGCCAGCTCAGAGCTCTGACCTCTGAGACAGGCAGCCACCTCAACAACTGTACTATATTTACTGAAGCAATCTCCGAATGATTCTATTGCATATTTTGTGTTGCAGTGACCACAGGGTTTGAGCTATTATTGACATTTTGTCCAATAAAGTGAAAGACGTTCACTTAAAAGTAAATTTATTTCGTGATGGTAAGAGATTTTGCATCATAACAGCTCTGCCTGTGTCTTCTAGGCTGGGTCTCAATCCTTGTCCTTTTGCAGTTATGTGGAGCACGCACTATAAGAGGTAGCTTGCTTAATTCAGAGTGAAAGACGGCTGTCTTTCAATATCCCTGGTATTAAAAACACAAATCATTGTACCGATGCCATGCTTTATGGCGACACATTTCAATGACATTAGAGGAACCAGTCAGGGATTTTGAAACAAAACGGAAAATCCTTGGAATGAACTGAATATAAACACAAACGACGCAAAATATAATCATGTAACTTTTTCAAATGATGCAAAAATAAAACAATTGTTGGAGGCAGGCTTTGACAAAAACCAAGCATCTACTTTTTCACCAAATAAAAAAAGGCACAGGGCCTACACAAGGGGCTTATGCAATTCCAAAAGCAATCATGCACAACACTAGCAAGCAACTATCTGAAGATATTGCTCATGTCAAATGATTTCACAAGGTAGCATTTAGGGTAACTCTCAGCTGTGTTGTACGAGCAGAACAACACATTATTTAATCCTGCAGAGCATTTGGCCAAGTGGCACTGTGGCCGATGCTCACTTGACTCACAATCGGAAGGTTAAAACAAAAACATTCTCTACCTCTCGCATATGTGCTGTGAATAAGAGCAATTGCCCATAGTGTCAACTATTTTGTGTCGAGTTTGTTTGAAATAGTTCATAGAGCATGACTCTGACTTGTGTGCATTCTTTACAGATCAGTCCACTATATGTGCAGATGATCATGTGCTCAAATATGGCACCGTTACAAAATTTGAAGAGTAGCGAGCTGTTAACAACCAGTTTTTGTCCTGTGTATAAGAAATTATTTAAAAAAATAAACCTGAAATATGGTGACTAAAGGAATGGAGGCATCATTCACAATATGCGGAATGGCTGCAGTCAGGACACAAGCATAATAGCCATGACAACTAAGTGGCAAGCCGGCGTTGCTCACTTTGCGAGGTTCGGTGACAAGTGAGTAAGAACGAGGTGCAATAGCACCAGTCATGGGGATACGTGTGAGAACAGTACATCCGATAACCCATAGCAATTCCACTTTCAAAAAAGTGTATGGCTGATAACGGATAACCTGTGAATCAGATTGGAACTCTGTTCGTCGTACCACATCGGCCACGTTTTCACAGCAAGGAAATGCATGCACCTTGCATCATCACCACTGATGAAACATGGAGCCATAATTATAAGTGGGATAGAGAACACAGGAGCACTGAATGCAAGTCCAAACCTGTATGAATGGTAATGAGAGCTCTTTAAGACATGCAGGGTCTGATAATTAACAGTTGCCGTTCAGGGCGAATGACAAACTATTACCAGAGCTTCTTACCGTCACTTATCGGATGATAAACTGAAGATTGACATTGGTCGCAAATGCTGAAGACAGTTGAGAGAGCGGCGTTTCATTGCAACAATGCACATCAGTACTCTGCACATGCAACGATGGAATTTGTTGGAAAAACTTGGATGGGATGTCCTACAATATCCGGGAAAAAACCCAGAATCCCTTCTGTGTGGACGTCTGAAAGAAGCTCTACGTTCAAGGTGGGTTGACAGTGACGAGGCCGTGAAAGCAGTGGTGCTGTTATGACCTGAGGAAGATGAAAATGATGACGTGCTGTTGCTGGCATTAGGAAGCATGCGGGTTTCTGGGGCAGATCTCAGCAGAGGATGACTGCATGCAGCAATTCTGTCATGCTGATGCTAACAGAAGCAACCTTTTGTCTATTTACTTATTTTAATACCCAAAATACAAACATTATAAGAAGCCTCACTGGGGTGTTTATCCAATTTATTTACGTGAGTGGATACATTTCGTTGTCCAGTATCATGAAACCCCACACATGAGGTGTGAAATGTAATACTTTGCACTGAACTGCCTGTCCTTAGCCTACTTGATGCACTACCCCCTTGTCCAGGAACCTGCACGGCAGGTTATCTAACACACAACACGACTGCCCATCTTGATGGTCATGCGTTAACCCTGCCTCCAAGCCCCCGACTGGCTGTGCACAGCACAGGGGTGAGTGAGGAGCTCACCTTGGGGTAGGCAGGCACATCTCTCCTCGGAGTTCTAGGTTTGTAATCCAAGCAAGCCATGGTCAGCGTGGGGTTAGACCTAGGGGTGAGTGTGTGTCAGTATGTGCGAGTTGGTGTGAGAGTGTGTGTGTGCATGTATAAACATGTGCGTATAAGAAAGGGTGTGTGTGTGTGTGTGAGAGAGAGAGAGAAAGAGTGTTAGTGTGCATGTGTGAGCGTGTAAGTGAAGGGGTGTGTAAGTATGAGAAATGGCGTGCGTGCGTGTAAATGTGTAAGCATGCCGTGTGTGAGAAATATTTGTGTGTGCGTATTGGTGTTTTGGGAGTATGTGCATGTGTGCGCATGAGTTTCTGTGCGAGAGGGTGTTTTGTGTGTCAGCTTGTGCGAGAGAGTTTGTGTGTGCACGCATGAGCATGGGTGTGTAAGAGAGAGGGTGTGTGTGTGTGAGAGAGGTGTCTATGCCATGAGTGTACATGGCAGAGTGTGTGTTTGCATGTATGAGCATGTGTGTAAAACAAAGGGTGTGTGCATGTGTATATGTAGATGAGTCGGGGTGATGTCGTGTGTGTGAGTGTGTGCGTGTCTTGAGCATGGATGTGTAACACAGAAGCTGCTTGTGAGTGTGAGAGTGTGTAGGCTTGTGTTGGTGGAATAGAAGGGAGCATGTATGAGAGACGGTGTGTATGTGTGGGTGAGCGCTGTGTTTGTGTGCAGCTGAGTGTCAGGGATGAGAGTGTGATTGGATGAATGCATCTTGGGCATGCATCCGTGTGTGGATGAGTTTATGTGTGTGAGTGTGTGCGGATACAGATGTTTATCACTTGAATGCATGCACACACAGTTGCATTGTTGTCATTTGCATTGATGTACTTGTGTAAGCGTTTGTGCATGTGTACTATTGCAAAACATATTCCATCCGTATGCAGTATATACGTATAAACAAAACACACAGACATGACATACAACACAAATTAAAGACACCACCGTGCCTTCATTATCACTTCAAAGTTATCGCATCCAAATTGATAAGTAGGAACATTTAGAATTCGCATAGGTCTACGTACACACTGCATTTTAAACCATATCAATGCAAGCGTAGGCTAATATCGCTTTTATTAGCACTGGGCTAGTGTTTCAAGTCAAATGAATGACTATGGATGAGTGTGATGAATGAATGAGCAGATGGAGCTTTTATCATTGAAATCAAAACGAGCCCCGCTCCAGTGTACCCAACAATGCATGCGCCAGGTGCAGCAGGACAGTCATTACTGTGATTGATATGAGGCATGTAACGATGCACTTGCGCACTTATGATCATCCCATGAATTGTCACAATTTCAAGGTCCCCGATTCAAATGAAGAATATATATTTTTTAAATTCTCATTTATAACTCGTCTGTAATAATTCCGTTTTAGTTTTCCTCTCGGCCTCATTTCTATACAGGATTTGTTCACTTAATTAGCCCAAAATGTAAGATTTACAGACCACGTTTGTGTCATTTACATCGCTCATGAACGAACTATCGGTTCGTACGCACGCAATGCGATGAATAGAGTGTTGGAGTCGAGTTCAGTCGAAGAACCAATTAAATCGTTACAGGCCTAGGTATTCACAATGATTCCATTGAAATACCTAAGCAAATTGGTTGTTTTGCACCTCCAATATTTGATGTTCGGCAAACAGTTACTCTTCATGTGTTAAGTTCATGGCTTAACGACATGTTATTGCGATACGAGCATCACACTGTACGTGTAAGAATGTATTGTTTACAATTCGTGTAAAATGTGTGCAACATATCAATGATTTGATCGTTAAGCTTGTTTACCCAGTAACGGCCTCACGAAGTCCCAAAACTTTTTGTCAGGAGGATCCTGCAAAGTTTTTTTGCAGGACGGTGGGTGCAATGTTGTTACGTGTGATCCAAATTGAGTAATCTGCAGGCAATTTGTCAGAATTGGGATGTTTTGCCACTACCAGTTACAATGCACGTGTTTTTAAAGCAATGGTAGGTAACTGGACAAGATATAAACTCATATAAACTCTCGATTTAAAGCTTTCCTGACTGCAGGGATTCATATTCTTGGTTCTTTCGGTAAAGTCACGTAGAAGGGAAATAATAAAAATAAAACATTATATGATGTTTTTTTTATTATTTTATTATTTCCCTTCTACGTGACTTTACCGAAAGAACCAAGAATATCATATAAACTCCACACAGAAAAGCGACCGAGTTATGAATCTAACCCAGACCCTTCTTGCACCCTGCCACCCTTATCTCAAACGATCTCCTGCTGTGACATTTAGGCTAATGCAGTGAGTAAAACTGAACAAACGAAACAATAACAACGCACGTTAACAACAAGACAAATACAACATGTTCTTCAATTGAATCGAGACCCTGAATTGGAACGATTCCTCACATTGATCGGGGTGAGTTTCTGTTAGCCGAGTAATGAGCACCACCACGTGTGTCGTTTGAGTGGACGCTGAGACTCCTGGTGAGGTTACTATTACATTTCCTGTGCACAAATCACACAATCCCAATCATGCAGTTAGCGTCGTCCGCACAGAGCGAAGCATTTTAATCTCACCGGTTGCAATGCACTATTATTCAGGTCGTGGAATGAAAGGGAGAAATATCCGCCGTCAGCTCTCTCAGCAATCACAGCTCGTTGGACGATGCCACGGAACCGCTTAAATAGGAATCTCTGTTCCTCAATAGGCCTCTCTTTCACTAGCCCAGGCATCTGGGCCGGGCAGATTGCATTGAATAAATAGATGTATTTGACGTCATGTGCTGTAATCAGTGACTAAGTTGACACTTTCCAGAGGAGGTAGGCTAGAAGAGAGTGGACACGAGCGATAGACTCGGGGAGAGGAGAAATTGAGGTGGTAGCAGTGGAAATGGGCTCGACAAGAGGAAGGGAAGGGAGAGATGTGAGTGCAGTGTCCTCGTGTCAACTCATGTGATGCTGTGTCACCCATCATAACCCCGAGTAACCTCGTTTGACCCTGTGTGTCTGGCACCTGTCGGGGCAGTTCATCATCTTGTCCTTGAGGGCTCGGATGTCGTTTTTGCATTTGTCAATTTCCACGAGCTTCAGGCCCTCAGCTGCGTGCACATACACAGACACATACACAGACAAACATACACACACATACACACACACATACACACACATACATACACACATACACACACACACACATACACACATACACACACATACACACACATACACATACATACATACACACATACATACACAGACACACATACATACACATACACACATACATACACACATACATACACACATACACACACATACACACACATACACACACATACACACATACATACACACATATACACACATACATACACACATACATACACACATACACACACATACACACATATACACACACATACACACACATACACACACATACACACACATACACACACACATACACACATACACACACATACACACACATACATACACACACATACACACACATACATACACACACATTCATACACATACATACACACACACACACATACACATACATACACACACATACACATACATACACACACATACACACACTTACACATACATACACAGACACACATACATACACATACACACACACATACACACACATACACACACATACATACACACACATACATACACATACATACACATACATACACACACATACACACACATACATACACACACATACATACACACACATACACACACATACACACACATACATACACACACATACACACACATACATACACACATACACACACATACACACATACACACACATACACACATACACACATACACACACATACATACACACACATACATACACACACATACATACACACACATACACACACATACACACACATACACAATACATACACAATACATACACACACATACACACACATACACACATACATACATACACAAATACATACACATACACACATACACACACATACACACACATATATACATACATACACACACATACATACACACACATACATACACACACATACATACACACATACACATACATACAAAAACAAAGACAAAGATCCCCCATATAGCCTTAACAGACTGTTGGGGCAAGTGCTGTTAGCGAGCACCTATGAAGGCCGGAACGGTACACGAGGGGGTGGGTGGCCAGCACCACGCCCGACCGCCTTTGTCTCCCTAGTGGCAATGTTTACACACCGCACCAGGTACTCATTTGAGGCTGAGTCGACCTAGGGGAGGCCCGGGACCGGTTCAGATAATCGTCACTGGTGTTGGCCGTGAGCGGGAATCGAACCCGGGTCGCCAGGTTCATAGCGCAGCGCACTAACCGCTACACTACCGCTCCCCTACGACACACATACATACACACACATACATACACACACAAACATAAACATATATACACACACATACACACACATACATACACACACACAAACATACAAAGAGAACGAGACAGGATTTCCCATAAAGACAACACAGGCTAATTTGCCTTAACAAACTGTTGGGACAAGTGCATGGTGCTGGCCACCCACCCCCTTGTGTGCCGTGCCAACCTTCATAGGTGCTCTCGAATAGCACTTGCCCCCACAACAACAAAGACACCAACACACACACTGTCATACAACATCGAGATGTTCCTCACCGTCGAGGCGTTTCTCTAGCATGGCAATTCGACTGGAGAACTCCGTTCTCTGCTCCTGAATACGGAACGCGCTGGGGACACGGCACGGTGAGAGTCCGGGTCAGGGTGACAGTCAGTATGATGGTAATGGTGAACACCGAGGTTACAGTTTAGATTAACTTTAGTTTTGAGATTAGGACACACACACTTCTCTTGTCGATATAATCTGGATTCTTGCAGCTGTGGTTAAGAGATTTCAAGTTGGGGAGGAGGTGGCTGAGTGGCTCCGGGGTCAAGAGCACTGACATCCTGGGTTCCAATCTGGGGTTCAGCCACCTGTCATTAAACCCCAGTGTTAATGTAGTCAGCATTATTTGTTCATTAGCCATAGTCTTAGTCTAGTCAATGATACCCTATGGTGTTTTAGTCAAGTTTGTGAATTCAACATCCAATATCAAGTTATTTTCCTTTGGTTTTGTAATGCTCCAGTCACTTTGTAAAGAGGTATGAAGCTTGTTTTGCAGGGTTTACAAACGGTGCAATATAAAATGTGTATCCATTTTGGTAGTTGAATTGAGGATCAATTTGTGTAGCCATTTTTAGTAGTTGCGCGCTAACATCCAGCTAATTTGAAATGTCTCCTACTATGATTCATCCTGTCCAAAGACACTTGTGAATAACACGACAGAATAGACAGATATAATATGGTCGTCATTATAATGATGATGTTGACAACACAGTGATACGAGATGAAGATAATAAACTTTTTAAGTGTTTAGCAAGAGACTTAAAGCAACTTCGAACTTTCGGCTGACCCTCCCTGCCCTTTGGGTGAAACCAATCAACCACTGGGCCATAATTGTTGCTAAAACAAATTTGAAAATGTTAGTTGCCTGATCTTTATAGCTATAAGCAAATACTCAACTAATTTAGTGACCAAATTACAACTTAATAGTCCATCTAGAACATCATTAACATTTAAAGCAGTCACTCACTTAATCACAATCGTCTATATGTTATTTATGCACTGCAAGTACTCACACACACACTGCCTACCTGGCAATCTGCTCTGCCATCTGGGAGAGACAGTCTCTTAGAATGGTGTCCCTCTCTGTAATAGCCAATGAGAGCGAGGCGTCTTTAGAGTTATGCATAGATAGGTAAGCATCTTGACAAGACACCATTGGTCAAGCGGTGTAATGCTGTGAAATCGGACAACGCGAGAGGAGCAGCTAAACGCTGTCCATTTACCCGCGTAGGAACCTTGTTTTTCAGCGTGCATGCCTAGGAGTATGCAGGTGTGTCTTTTGCATATACAGTAAAACCTTGGATTGTGAGTAACTTGGTCTGCGAGTGTTTTGCAAGACGAGCAAAATTTTAAATAAATATTAATTTGATAAACGAGCGAGGTCTTGCAATACGAGTAGTATGTATACGCTTTGTCTGCCGAGCATCACGTGATCTCAACTGATATACGAGTGCTTTGATATACGAGTGCTTTGGATTACAAACACGTTTCCGGAACGAATTATGCTCGCAATCCAAGGTTGTACTGGTATATGAGTGCAAATGTTCATGGATACAGCGTACGTATATTTGTGCGCCTAAAGCACTTATCCAAAGAGTCTATAAGGCTATATGGTAAATCCAGTAAACCTAATGAAAGGCAGACTCAAGAAAGCATCCTGCTGTTTCACTGAGAGACAACCACACATTGTGAAGATCCAAATCTGTGCATGTGTACTTGGGTGCGGGAAGTGGTTGTGTAGCGGTTAACACGTTACGTTACGAACCCAGCAACCCGAGTTAAATTCCTGCTCACGGCCAACACCAGTGACGGCCATCTGAACCTGTCCTGGGCCTCACCTATGTCGACTCAGTTTCAAATGAGTACCTGGTGCGGCGTGTAATCATTGCCACTGGAGGGACAAAAGCAGTGATGGCCACCCACCCCATTCTGTACCGTGTCAGCCTTACATTGGTGCTCGCTAACAGCATTTGCCCCAAAAAGTCAGTTAAGGCTATAAGGGAGGATTTGTCTTGTGTACGGGTGTACGCTTAGCTCACGTGAGAGTTGCGGTGTTCCTACTTGAATGATCTTGTACGGAGTGCTGCAACCCACACACACGGAAAAGACTCATCACAAACCAGTCGCTACCAATCATCAACAGCAAGTTAAAGCGCCCCCCAGCTCCAACCTCCAACGAGAAAGGGGTGGCATTGTTTGCAGTCCTAAGGCAGTGGTAGAAAATCCACATTCTTATGGTAGGTGTCATAAGAATAGGACAACTACTTTTGACTCTCTGCAAAGTGATATATATTTTATAGACCTCAGTGGGATGATGGAAAGTGTTGACTGTTGACCAAGATTTGAATGCAAGGCATTCTGATCGCCATTTGAGTGCTCGGAGTGCTCAGAGCACAGTGCCACTTGGCCGCTTAGCAACACCACATGAGAGTACGGCCTTCGAAGGGGATTAAAACGACATATTTTATCTTATTCCACTCGTGTATTTGGTGTCATGTCATGGAACAGATTGTCCATTTAGAACTCTCACAGGATTGTGCATCATCCTGCATTAGAGAACTGCCCATGAATAACGATTTCACAGAGCTATTTCTGAAGTCTCTTCAAGTGACTTTTCTTAATCCACACATTATTCCAAACAGGCAGTCAACCCAATGTTAAATTTGTATTCTAAGGGCTGTAATTTAAACAGATTCTGCGATGAACGATATTTAATTTGTAGGTGTTTTGTGCAGGCTTCGCCGACCAGGCTGAGACTGTAAGCTTGCTCGACTCGAGAACCTGGTTTAATCTCTGGTGGCTGAAATCCAGACTTAAACCCAGGAACTCGATGGTGCTGGTGCAGTGCTGTGACCCCTGAGCCGCTCGGCCACTTCTTTTAAGAAAGTGAACGAATTAAGCAGTAAACATATTCCGATGTGCTATGATTGTAGCAAAAGTGGAAGTGTCAAGGTATGGGTTTGGTTCATGGCCATGATGTACAACATCAATGGGTAAATGGTAACCACATCTGACCTGCGTTAACCCCTTGGGTCAACTCAATCTAAAATAATTATAGATTTGAAGTTTTCGTGACTCTTTGGTACTTTCGATAAAGTCACGTAGGTGGAAAAAAATAAAAAAATAAGAGTAAATTAAAACACGACGTTTCGATTGCAACACAAGCAATCATCATCAGGTGTGAACAACCACAGCAAGGAATATTTTTTTACTAAAATAATTGCCTTGTGTGGAGTGGTCACTATCAGCACTGGGTTTGAAACAAGCTTCGCATGGTGCTGGCTACACCAGTCCACAGAGTGTGCAATGTCCACCTCAACAGATGCTAACTAACAAAATATCTTACTAACACGACATTGACTAGAGGCATGGAAATGTGATCTCTTTGTATTGTGACCCTCATAATCTTAGTTCTGTGTTTTTGGGCTGGGGGTGGGTGTGGAGACCAGTGGTTGTGATAGGTGGACTGCTGCCCCGAGCAAAAATGTTGAATGAGAAGTGTTGCAGGACAGTGTGTGTTTGTGGAGTGTGTGTTTGTGGAGTGTGTGTGTGTGTTTGTGGAGTGTGTGTTTGTGGAGTGTGTGTTTGTGCTTGTGGTGTGTGTGTGCATGTGTGTTTGTGGAGTATGTGTTTGTGGAGTGTGTGTTTGTGGAGTGTGTGTTTGTGGAGTGTGTGTGCATGTGTGTTTGTGGAGTGTGTGTTTGTGGAGTGTGTATTTGTGGAGTGTGTGTTTGTGGAGTGTGTGTTTGTGCTTGTGGTGTGTGTGTGCATGTGTGTTTGTGGAGTGTGTGTTTGTGGAGTGTGTATTTGTGGAGTGTGTGTTTGTGGAGTGTGTGTTTGTGGAGTGTGTTTGTGGAGTGTGTGTTTGTGGAGTGTGTGTTTGTGGAGTGTGTGTTTGTGGAGTGTGTGTGCATGTGTGTTTGTGGAGTGTGTGTTTGTGGAGTGTGTATTTGTGGAGTGTGTGTTTGTGGAGTGTGTGTTTGTGGAGTATGTATTTGTGCTTGTGGTGTGTGTGTGTGCATGTGTGTTTGTGGAGTGTATGTTTGTGAAGTATGTATTTGTGCTTGTGGTGTGTGTATGTGTGCATGCGTGTTTTATGTAGGGGGCACAGCTGGTGCATCCGCCAGTCATCGAGGTCAATCAATCATTGACACCGTGGTGTGTCCCGTGACCTCCTGTGATCAAGCCTTCGACACTTCACGTACACCTGGCCTGGCACAGGCAACGTGGTGACGTCACTGTCACTTCGTGGCGAATGGCGGGTGTTGTTGTTTGTGGAGCATGTGTGTGTGCGCATGTGTGTTTCGTGGTTTTTGTGTATGGTGTGTGTGTGTTTACATGTGTCACACCTGTGGGTGTTGTAAGGCATGCCGGGATCCAAGGAAACAGTGGCTCCATTTGAGTCAATGAGAGAGATAGGGGTGCACCTGATCGCACACAACACACACCACAGCCTGAATTACACACACACACACAATAGACTAAATTACACACCCACAGCACATACATCCACCCATGACATTGCGTACACCAGACCACACATTACTCAACTCTCACACAACAACAAAGACACACACACACAACACCACATACACCGCACCGCTAACCATTACACGCCATAACTCGCCACAAAAAACACCATCAAACATGCACGCTCCCACATTTGAGATTCACACGCCACTGAGTCAGTCACCCAGTAATACATTCCCATGGGACATTCTTAACATTGCACACTTTATTCTATAAAATTATAGCACCGTTTGTTATAAAGCACATGTTAAACACCCTGTGAGATCATCATCATCATCATCCTCCTCTGTGGAGGTAGCCATTGTGAGGCATCTGTGCTCACAGCGCACAGATAATTAAAACCCTCCCTAGATGACCACAAGCACCCAGGAGAGCCAGGTCACCCTTGCGAAATGGGATAATGAATCTCTAAGGGATATCACCGGGGAAAATAGAGACAGGAAGTGGAAGCAAGGTGTCCTCACACCCACACAAGGGACTCACAAATGAGCTGCACCAGCTCAAAGTAGCGGTGGTTATGTGCATTGTATGTATGTGGAACTTCTTTCGCACCGTACGTAGCCAACCGTGCTCATAGGAGGTGCGGGGGAAGGATAACAAACTAAACACAAAAAAGCAGTTCTAGAGATATGAGTTATCAAACTCATTAACATGTGATCATTTATAAGATCAATGAGTTCAGAGCTATAATACCGTGCACACATACTTATCTGTGTACGTGTTAGTGTTTGTGCTTGCATGTGTGTGTGATCCTTTATCTAATTATTAGTATTTATAATTGTTTAAAATGTATGTTAACTCATGATCATATGCATTTTTGTAAACGTCATTTTTTAAATCCAGAAATGTCGGCGAGGAACGCAACCCCCAATTTTATTGTTATGTCTGTGGGGTTATATAGTTTGCTCTAAGTAATTTTGAGTTAAGTAGAAATTTCCTAGGAACGCATCCCTTATATAGAAACATTCCCCATTGCGGAGATCCTGTATATCTGACATCAGGTGTTAAATATGTGCTTACTTCAGCAATTTCCCCAACAGACTTTTAAATAAAGGCTATGGTGAGGATATTTGCTCTTTGTATGGACATTTGGCAGTGCGTATGTATTTTTGTATGTATATGCATGTGTCTGTGTGTAATTTGTGTGTGTATTTGTGAATATCTTTGTGTGACCGTGTCAAAGTCCCCCAAACAACCCCCACTTCCTTGCGGTGCCAGAAAGTAAAACTGTAGTGTGTGGTGATCAATGTTAGTCAACTGGAGGAAGCTCGTCAAGAACACTCGCATTCTACCCGACAGCCTCCTCCACCCGTTCTAGTTCCGTATTGCTCACCACAACCTACCCCATACCTAGGTTCCGCCCTCACCTTCCCCCGTGCTTTACAGTGCTGACTGGGCTCCAGTTTCAGAGCAGAGTTTGTCAATGTTCTAAGTTGTGCTCCGAAGCCTGAGCGGAGCTTGGGTCAATGGATTCAGGATAGAGCAGTAGCTGAGGTCACTGGAGCACTCTCGAGCCTGGACCCAGAGATGAGGTTCCAGAGCAGCTCCACTAACTCCTACCTTCACTGTTATATATATTTATTTTACAAAAAAACTGACTTCTCCCATTTAAGTTATTGATTGTAAAACGTATCGCAAAACCCTGATAGATTTATTGATTCTACAATATTGTATTTTTCATGTTGTGTCTTCTTCCAAAAATAATATTTTTCTCTACACTTGTGAAATACTTTAACTTGCTCAGGTTTATCTTGCAAACATATTGTATCGCAATAGATTGATTGAGAATTACAGAACCGATAAATCGATTCAGGGTCGATAAGTGGAAGAGTGGTGGTGGTGGTGGTGGAGGGGAGTCGGACCGGTTGATTCCTGCTGAGTCGCAGACGAGGTCATTGAGGTGTGCAGTGGAGCAGCGAGACCCGAACACCACCTGCACACACACACAGCAATAACGTCTCTCCTTACCATTGCCCTGCACATTTTAAATAATCTCACGGCACATTACTGAACCCTGACAAATTACAGTGCAGTGATGTGAACAGTTTGACTCGGAACGTGGCGCAAGAAGAGATTTTTTTTAAACATACCTTTCAAATAAAAAAAAGTACCTACATTTTAATCCGGTACAAATTACATTGTTACATCCTGCACTTGTCTGATGAGTGCTAAACATGTCACGCGGAGTGCTGATTCAATTAAAGAGCTCCCTACATCATGTGGTTTTCTAAGCCACGTGAGACACGATAATAACCGACATACTGAAAAGTGGAGATTACATCATCATAACACCTGTGCCAGTTTAGTGCACTTTAAAGCCATCTGATTTTCCGAAGGCTCATTGGCAGCAGGTCATAGGACTGATCCGCTTGGAAACCCTTATAAACAATAAGTTGCATTACAAGGGAGTTTCCTGGTGAAATATTTAAATAACTAAATATGCAAGGTGTTATCATGGGTTAATTAACTGAAATGACTGGCAGATGAATCACCGTGCCACCTTTCCCATATTTAGCCACCTGGAGCTCTGATAATTATTTTAAGTGTCACAATTCTGCATCCTATCGTTGCTGATGGGTAGATGCTTCCAACTGCCCTGTGTCCCTTAAGTGTCCCTTGTATAACAGCTGATCTTGACACCACTGGTACCAAGTGTCAGCAAGTCCACAGCAGGTTTAGCCTCCTCTATCCAGCTATTCTAAATTGAAAGTGCTCTCGCGGGGCGTTTCTGGCAAGCGTCAGGCATGTGCTGCGTGTAACGATTTGTTTGTATTTGAACTCGGAAAGTAGCACTGTGTTGGGTTCACCAGGACCGGAGTTTGGTAAACCTTGACGCAGCTCTGTAGTGTGACCTTGCTTAACGGGGTGGGGGCACACAAAACCTCAAGGCGGTGGTGGGGGGATGCACGACAACGTGAACGCAAAATAAACTGGAAACAAATGTCAAACACCAAAGAGAACGCGCAACGGTACAATCTGCTTGTCGATCGTGCATTCTGATCTGGCGTTCACCTCCTACCCAGAGAACACGAAACGCTGGGCCAACGCCGGGACAACGTTGGTCCAACGGTTCCAATCACAATCCCAACGTTGGTCCAACATTGGCATGTTCACTGGATATGAGGAAAGTCTGCGAGGCCCAACATTATATTGTGATATTCTTTGCATTTTGCCCATTATTTTGATTAGATAAGCAGTTATAAAATGGCTGAACCTTCAGCAGGTGAGGCTCAGCACCCAACAACCTCTCACACCACCCCAGTTAAAATGGAACGTTCAGCCAACGTTGGTCCAGCGCTTATAACCACATTCCCAACGTTGGTTCAACGTCGCCATGTCCACTGGGACGAGGCTGCCCCGAGCGTACGGGAACATCATAATCCGCGGGCTCTCTCTGTGGGTCTTCATCATCGCCACGCACACCAGGATGGGCCAGTGTGTACTGCAGAGTGCGCAATTAACGGGACCCATTGTCCACATTGAACCCCGTCTCAGTAAATTAATTGGCGTCCCGGGTCCAATTAAACGTCCCGTGACCCATTGCGACCTTTCTCGCGTGATCCCCCCCCCTCCCGTCCCCACCTGCAGCCCCCCCCCCCACGCCGTCCTGGGTGCTCGGCGTCTTGGGAAATGTGACATAACATTTTGAACACACCGGTGCCCCCCCCCTCTCCCTGCTCGCTGTCTTTTCTAACGAGTTGTGCCTATTTATAGACCGTGTGTGAATGCGTTCGTATTGTGGTTTTTTTTCCTGCACACGTATCGGTGGGGCTGTTACGAAAATAAACACCAAAAAGTGTAACATTTTTTTCTGCATTACCGATAACCGCATGAATAAAACACCCGGCGATAACCGGCGTGGGACGCGTATAATGGTGAGCGCACCTTGACTTGACATCCAAGAGGGAGCAAGTTCGGTTCCATCTCCCGGCGCGGCAGTACAAGCAATGGGGCAAGCTTCTTAAACCCCTCCGGCCACCCCGCCCGGCCGCCTCTGTCCACCCAGCGATATAAACGGGTTCACCACGATCGTGTGGTGGGGTAAAGTGTGGGTACTCCCACCTCTGACAATACGTAAGGTCAGTGTGGAAGAATGGAGCACATTACTCCCTCTAGTGCAGAGGTGGGGAACCTTTTTTCTGCCAAGGGCCATTTGGATATTTATAACAACATCATTCGCCGGTCATACAAAATTATCAACTTAAAATTAGCCTGTTATATTTGGTCAAACATGTAATTAACTCGCCCCTAATGCGATGGCTGGAACTGCTTCTCTTTGGTGAGGCGTGTGATGAGGTTAGCTGGTATTGATGATGTTAGCTGGTATTCATCATGTTAGCTGGTATTGATGATGTTAGCTGGTATTGATGATGTTAGCTGGTATTGATGATGTTAGCTGGTATTGATGATGATGCTGCTACTCGCAACTGCTTTTCCAGGTTTGCTCCTAGATTTATTGAATTTTGAGTCCCACCCGCCGTTGCCTTGGCAGGGCCACACCAAATGATTTCGCGGGCCTCATACGGCCTGCGGGCCTGACGTTCCCCACCCCTAGTGGAAGCCACATCCGCCAGCAGTGTCCTGAGCGGGCACTTGCAGGGTTGCACCTTTACCTTGTAACTGAGAAGGGAGGGCAATTGAATCACGCGGTGATCTAGGTCGCCTTGCCGTGTGTACGTTCGTGCGTGCCCGTGATAAAATTTCACTCGGCACGGCTATCGGCTCCTGACTTTTCCGACCCGGTAAATTACCGGTTACTACCCCTTATCTCGACAACAACAACAACCGCCATTCCACAACAACAACAACAATAACCGGTATATTCTTGGTTCTTTCCTTTCTACGTGACTTTACCGAAAGAACCAAGAATAATGAATCCCTGCAGTCGCGAAAGCTTTAAATAAAAAAAATAACCGGTATCTTTACGCATAAAGATCCCCCATATAGTCTGAACGGACTGTTGGGGCAAGTCCTGTTAGCGAACACCTATGAATACGGCACACGAGGGGGTGGGTGAATAACAACCACGCCCGGCCGCCTTTGTCTTCCCGGTGGTGATGTTTACACCCCACACCAGCTGCTCATTCGAGGCTGAGTCCACCTAGGGGAGGCCCATGACCGGTTCAAATAATCGTCACCGGCGTTGACCGCGAGCCGGAATCGAACTCGGTTTGCCGGGTTCGTAGCGCAACGCTCCCCCGCAAACCGAATAGGCACTCACACGTAAACAAACTAAACCATTTTTATTTATTTTCCCAAGTAAGGCCCGCTGAGCTATTCAGCTCTTTTTCAAAAGCCACCTGGCCACAAACGGGAGCTCAACGAAGTGGCTTTATCGCGTGGAAATGTAACAGCAGCCAAATGCTCTAAACGCGTGTTGATAAATGTGTGGAGGGAATTCCCGCACGCGAACACGGGGAGAGAGACACCGCAAGCTCCAAATACACAGCAGCAGGTGTCAGGCCTCCTGTAGAACAGGCGAGGTAGTTAACATCTCCTAGCCACGAGTGCATGCGTCTTATTCGCACACTTAACGCACCTTGCGCACTCCGTGAAAATATCTGCAAAGGTCCCACGTAGAGCCGGCAACATCACGCGAGGTATTGGGTCGCCAACAACACGCCCGACCGTCTTTGTCATTCCAATGCAGATGTTTACACACCGCACCAAGTATTACATAAAGGGCCATAACAGAGGTTTTTTTGGGGTTAGATGGCGTAAATATATAAATGTGTCGTTAAAACCCGCCACCACCCGACACAGCCAACTAGTAAGGGTTGTCACGTAGACAGAGCGTGGCCAATTCGTCACTAGTACAGCACACCGGCGTGTTGGAGAGCCAAGCCACAACATTTACAATCTGTATATTTACGCGATCTAACCCATAAAACCTCTATTATAGATGATATTGGTCGCGAAAGCCTACCTATTTATGGCTGGGTCAAACTAGGAGAAACCCAGGACTGGTTCAGATATTCGTCATCGATGTTGTCCGTGAGCGGGAATCGAACTAAGGTGACCGGGTCCGTAGCCCTGACAACTGCGCCACCGCTCCTCACATCTACACACACTTATACATGCACACCTGTGCACACCTGTACATGCACACCTGTACACGCACACCTGTACATGCACACCTATATACACCTGTGCACACCTGTACATGCACACCTGTACAAGCACACTTGTACATGCACACCTGTACACACCTGCACACACCTGTACAAGCACACCTGTACATGCACACCTGTGCACACCCGTACCTGCTGCACGCGCCCGTCCAGGTCCAGGTAAATGGAGCGCGTGCCGAGCGCGGAGCCTCCGCTGCCCATGGTCTCCCCAAATCCACGGGAGAGCAGCACGAGGAGCACGGGGGAGAGGGCAGCACGAGGAGCACCGGGGAGAGAGCAGCACGAGGAGCACCGGAAAGAGGGCAGCACGTGGGAGAGAAGCACGAGGAGCACGGGGGAGAGGGCAGCACGAGGAGCACGGGGGAGAGAGCAGCACGAGGAGCACGTGGGAGAGCAGCACGAGGAGCACCGGGAAGGGGGCAGCACGTGGTAGAGAAGCACGAGGAGCACGGGGGAGAGGGCAGCACGGGGGAGAGGGCAGCACGCGCACGGGGGAGAGCAGCACGAGGAGAACAGCACGAGAAGCACCGGGGGGAGGGCAGCACGAGGAGCACGGGGGAGAGGGCAGCACGAGGGAAAGCAGCACGAGGAAGAGGAGCACGAGCAAGAGGAGCACGGTGGAGAGCAGCACAAGGAAGAGGAGCACGGTGGAAAGCAGCACGGGGGAGAGCAGCACGAGGGAGAGGAGCACGAGGGAGAGGAGCACGGTGGAGAGCAGCACGAAGGAGAGGAGCACGAGGGAGAGGAGCACGGTGGAGAGCAGCACGAGGGAGAGGAGCACGAGGGAGAGGAGCACGGTGGAGAGCAGCACGAGGGAGAGGAACACGAGGGAGAGGAGCACGGTGGAGAGCAGCACGGGGGAGAGCACGGTGGAGAGCAGCACGGGGGAGAGCACGGGGGAGAGCAGCACGAGCAATAGGAGCACGGTGGAGAGCAGCACGGTGGAGAGCAGCACAAGGAAGAGGAGCACGAGGAAGAGGAGCACGAGGAAGAGGAGCACGGGGGAGAGGAGCACGGGGGAGAGGAGCACGAGGGAGAGGAGCACGAGGGAGAGGAGCACGAGGGAGAGGAGCACGAGGGAGAGGAGCACGGTGGAGAGCAGCACGAGGGAGAGGAGCACGGTGGAGAGCAGCACGGGGGAGAGGAGCACGGTGGAGAGCAGCACGAGGGAGAGGAGCACGGTGGAGAGCAGCACGGGGGAGAGCAGCAGCACGAGAGGCACTGGAGAGTATAGCGCACGAGTTTGAAGCGAGCAGCAGCAGCGCTCGAAATGACCAAGCATTGAAAAGGGGAGGGGCTCACAATTCTGGGGGGGTGGGGGTCATGTAAACTAGCCAATCAAACCTTACGATAACTAACCCTACGATAATTATCAACTAAACAGACACGAGTACTCTCCCTCCCACTGAACTAAACTAGCCAAGTAGATACGAGGTAATACTGAATGTCATTATAAATCCCTTATCCCACCAATTACCAATATATAGCATGAAACATTTATTTTTTAATAAGTACATTTAGGACACAAACTGGCTTTCTAATTTGCAGTATTATTTAAATGTGTTGTTAGGGTAAATAAGGTTTGGAAAATTGATAGAATGGATACAACTATATTTGCATGCTGGGTGGGAGCTTCAAAAGGCACGTGGAGCAAAACATCTTGCTGTACATTGGAGAGCAATACAGCACAACCGTGGAAACACGCACAATAGTATGATGGTCATTTTATTGCCATGAAGGAACGACTGACTAAATAAATAATAAATAACTGTAATTTAAATTTCGATTTAAAGCTTTCGTGACTGCAAGGATTCATCTTCTTTGGTTCTTTCGGTAAAGTCACATAGAATGAGAATAAAATAATAAAATAAAATAAGACTAAAATTCTCACGACGTTTTGGGACAGTTCTGTTCTTTCACCTGATGAAGGCTACTTGTGTTGTGGCCGAAACGTCGTGAGAATTGTATTGTCTTATTTTATTTTAGTATTTTATTCTCCATTCTACGTACCTTTACCGAAAGAACCAAAGAAGAACAGTAATTTACTCAGAAAAGCATCACCGCGTCTCAAGACTGTTCCAAGAGCCTCCTGCGGAGGAATGATACACTCTAGAGGAGATGGAGCAGTCCTCAAGTCACAGTGAATAGAGCGTGGACAACGGCAAGAACAGCAATGTTGATGATGATGACAATGATGTTTGTGATTATGCTGGTGGTGGTAATAATGGTGATGATGTAAATGTGTGGAAGTTTAGCGCTGTGATGTCAGCTGGTCTTTCCTCGATTTTTCTCTTCAATCATTTTCTCCAACTGTAAAAGAAACATGAATAATTAATAAGTGCTCTGTATTTGGAAGGGTGTTCCATTAAAAGCAATTGTGGAATTGGTCTGATTTTCTAGAAGTCATCAGTCTGCTACAAAAGTGGCAAAACAATGGATACAAATGTTAATAGGAGAGCAAGATAGGAATATGCACCTGTTTTGCTAGATGCTCCAAAGGGTCATCTGGTCTCTCGTTGACTAGACGTTCAGTCATGGCCTGTGTGTGTATATGCGCACACACATATTCAAATACACACACGGTCTATAGATATGCAATATACAAACCAACCGAGTTTAGCATTATAGATTATTGGGGCAGATGCTGTTAGTGAGGACGTATTAGGGGATTGGTGTAACCAGCACCATGCTCAGTCGCCAATGTATCCCCAGTAGTGAAGTTTTCACACCATGCCAAGTGCTTGTTTATGGTCAAGTTCACTTCGGGGAGGCCCAGGCCACATTCAGATACCATTTCACCACTCGTTTGTGGATGACTGGGCATCGAACCCAGGTCACAGGAATAGCAGCTTAGTGCATGTACTTCTACACCACTGCACAATTTCTCCCTCCCTCACGCCACACAATGCAAAAATCCCCGTATAGCCTTTAACAGACTGTTGGGGTATAAGAGCGAGCTGTTAGCGAGCACTTATGAAGTCTGGCATGACACACAAGGGGGCGCCTGCCCGTTTGTGTCTCCCCAACGTTGATGTTAATCCACCACACCAGGTACTCCATTTAAAGCCACATCGGCCTCAAGGAGGCCCATAACCGGTTAAAATATTTGCCGCTCTCCCACACATGCACTTTTATTGACACAATGCACGCTCACAGACACACACATGTAAACGCACACGCATCACGTGTGCTATGCCATGCTTCTCCAGGTATTTCTGAGCTCGTATCTCCGGATCTTCAGACGTCGGCCCATCATTCACGTTTCCAGTGGACATGTCTCACTGTAGGTCAGCGTCAACTGAAAAGGCAAGAGTAAAGCGTGTTACTGTTGATCATTGTTATGAAATAAATATTCTAACAGGTAATTATTGAACCAGCAAGAAAGCCCCATCCTCTATGTGTAAGCCAGTTCTACAATGATGACATTACTCTCACTGCCCTGTCAATGTACTGCTGGTTGAAGGCCTCTCCACACATGGGGGTTTGTTTGGCGTTGGATAGTGAAGTGGATCTCAACCGGCGGTACGCAGACCCCTGGGAGTACGTGATGTAATCTAAAGATGTGTGACATATCATACGCAAAAGTGATTGGCGAATAATCATGTACGAATCTGCCAATATACGATAACGTTTAAATTTATATGGTAAACAATTTGGGTTTCCAAGAGTAACCAGCGAGCGGGAAGAAATTACGCCGTGCATGCAGAGTCCATTTATATTTTTTATTTGCTTGCAGTTTAGTTAGGATACCTTACAAAATGGACAATTAGTTAAAATATTGACGTTCATTATTCAGACTTTTATTTATTAGAACCACATCGGGTCAGGCAAGGGGGTTACTCGGTTGAAACAAAATTTAACAAAGGGATTAGAATCGCTAACAATGGTTGAGAACCACTGGGCTATTTGTGTGTTGGTGAAGGGTGGGAGGGGGTGCATGTGTAGTTAACACCTCTACACATGCATGTCATGTTGACATCACACTGCATGTACACAAAGTGTTGGATTGGTACTCTATGGCTCTTTCGGTAAAGTCACGTAGGTAGAAAATAAATAATAAAACAAACAAGCGACCGTCTTCAGGTGAGAGAATCAGACTGCTGATGCCTCGTCCACAGCAGTCTCTGATTCTCTCACCTGAAGACGGTCCCTTATTATTGCGATCGAAACGTCGTGATCTATTGCTTATTTCTAACTACGTGACTTTACCGAAAGAGCCAAAGGGTATGGGACTACTACAGTCACGAAAGCTTCAAATCAAGATTGTTAGATCGGCATTGTTTTCTTTGGGTAAGTGCAAATGTGGGTATCCCATCGTGAAGAGGCATAAAGGCAGCACTGTATTGATCATTATACAGCACTGATCAGTACTAATGAGGATGAAATCGATCGACGGCTGTTTTTTGTGTCACTATTGACTGTTAGCGCGGCCACATTTTCAACAATTCTTGGGTTTGCGGCCTCAACAATAATAATAATACGGCTTGCACCTTCAACTCTTGCAGAGATGGTGGCGTTCGCATGCCTGGACGTACGTGGAAATTCTTTCGCACCGTACATAGGCAACCGTGCGAATCGGAGGCGCATTGCACATTGCACATGCAGTCACGTAACACGCATCCAACACATCATGTTGAGTCGTGACTTTCTAGCGGTTTTGCTAGCGTAACCTTTTGCGTCGTTAAATCTGTTACGCGAGACAAAGATCCACCGTGTGGCCTTAACAGACTGTAAGGTGGGGGGCAAGTGCTGTTAGCGAGCACCTATTAAGGCTACCGGCAATGTGGCACACGAGGGTGTTGGGTGGCCAACACCACGCCCGGCCGCCTTTGTCTCCCTAGCGACGATGTTTACTTACACACCGCGCCAGGTAACTCATTTGAGGCTGATGTTGACCTACGGGGAGGCCCAGGACCGGTTCAGATAATCGTCGACGGTGGTGTTGGTGGCCGTGAGCGGCAATCGAACCCGGGCGTCCAGGTTGGTAGCGCAGCGTAGCGCCGACCGCTGCACCACCGCTCACCCACACACACAGAGACACGATCGCGATACCCCTCGCTGGGAGTCGGCGCCAAGCGACGTGCTTACCGATTTATCCGGCGCCGTGCGGCGTGTCGCGAATTAATGAATAAATGAATAGATGTGCATTTTGAACGGGCAGGACACGAAAGGACTTGCGAGGTTTTATTTTATTTTAAAAACTCCTGCGGACGAACGCGAAGGTTGAGCCGAAGTTGAGGGAGGGAAGGGGGGAAAGCGGCGAGTGAACTGACGGTTGCGTGGCAACCTCCGCGTCAGCCTCGCAACTCCCCCCCACCTCTCCCCGGTGCGTAGTGGTACGACCCGACCCGTCGCCATGGAGACGGCGGGACGCTCGGCACCGCCAATCGATGATTCCAACTCCCCTCGGAACGACGATCGATTTCATCTCACATTCGCGGGGCAACAAGGTCGATTCGGTTGACAACGCAAAGGATCGATTTTTGCGGCGTCTGCAACGGTCGTTAATCGATTCAGCCTAAGCTGTTTTTTTAATGTAATCGATTGCACAATGTGGGTGGACCCCACCACTTTCTGTCTCCAGCAGGTGGTGATGAGGATTCATCTTCTTTGGTTCTTTCGGTAAAGTCACGTAGAATGAGAATAATAAAATAAATTAACACAATAAAATTCGTCCCGACAGGTCTGTTCCTTTCACCCGAAGAAGGCCACTTGTGTTGTGGCCGAAACGTCGTGAGAATTTTACTGTGTTATTTTATTTTATTATTTTATTCTCATTCTACGTGACTTTACCGAAAGAACCAAAGAAGATGAATCCTTGCAGTCACGAAAGCTTTAAATCGAAATGGGGATGCTTGTTTAAATCTTTAATAATATAGGACTGTAATACACACACTGGAACAGCATTCTCAACCAGTAACAGCTACGATGCATTCAAAGTGATGCGAATTGACGATTGTGTATCATTTAATTGCATATATAACACAACAGACAAGAAAGTATATTATTGGTTCGTTCGGTAAAGTTACGTAGAAGGGAAATAATAAAATAATAAAACGTCGTGAGAATTTTATTGTATTGTTTTATGTTTATTATTTTATTGTTTCCCTTCAACGTGACTTTACCGAAAGAGCTAAGAATATGATTAAAGCAGGTGTTAAGATGTTCAAACAGCAAATACCTTTTGCTCACCCGAGCTATAAACGCTCCGATAGGGGCCGTCCATAAATGAGGTCACGCGATTTTTGACCCCCCCCTTCGTCACACGACGTCACAAAAAGTCAGCCCCCCCCTCAAATATGACGTCACAACGCTCTGCCCCCCCCCCCAAAAATATATAAAACATGCTTCAAATCTCCTTAAACTATTGTCATTGTAGTGCGTATTTAATGTGACGCTGCACTCTGATGTTGTAGAAGAGACTAGGCCCGAAATAAGGCTGTTTCTGGTGTAGGCCACTCAATGGTAAAGACAATGCCCATGTATTATCAGAGCATATTTGTTTGCATGATCACCACAAGTCCTGTGCGTGGTTAATGAAGACTTTGATTTCTTGCAAAAAGTATCCTATTTGGGTGTTTGAACGTCTTAACATGTTTTTTTTTTCCCAGAAAGGGTAAAACCTATTCAAATTTTCACACTGATGCCACGTCTCCATACCCGTATTCTTGTACAGGGAAATTGAGTTTTCAGGTCCATACGGACGTATGGCCGCTTCAATACGGGCAAAAAATAAACAATACGGCCAAATAAAAAAGTCGTGGAACAGCATCAGGATGCAAGATCACATACAGTAGCATGATAAGTAGCATAATTTACACCAATCATCAATATTCTTTGGGTCTTTCAGTAAAGTCACGTAGATAGGTTCAAAGAAAATAACAAAAAAACTACGCTTGTGTTGTGATCGCAACGTCGTAGTTTGTTGTTATTTTCTTTTAACCTATCTACGTGACTTTACCGAAAGACCCAAAGAATATGAATTCCTACAGTCACGAAAGCTTTAAACCAATTATCAAAATTAATACATTAAACAGTTTTTGTTCAGTAACATTTTTGTTTCTCCCTTGTGATGGGATTTTGTAGGATCAACGTTTAGATTTATAAGGGCACGGGGTGACCAATAAGGTCAGAATTTGTCTGTAATAAGATAGGGCACTGATATGGAGTTGACAGGTTTGCGTCTCAAAGACATTTCCAGGTGGAATATTTCCACCTGGAGGTCGGGCGTCCACTCGGGCGCAGTTGGAAGCGGTGCCTCTGGGGTGCGAGTGGATATCAACGACATTGCCCTCCACTGTGGAGGCCTTTCCGCTGGCCACGACGAGAGGGCTTCAGGAGAAAATCCTTTGTGTGCTTTTGCTTCTTCCTTAACCGACCTAACGATGGATCGGAGCAGTCCCCCTTCCCACCACTCCCCGCGAGTTGGATTCGTCCTCGCGCCCCCCCTCTTCCCCCCGCTGCGAGTTGGATTCGTCCTCCCTGGCTCCGCCCCCCGTCACCCTTTCTGGGCGTGGCCGACACGAGGGCCCTCAACACGGAAGCGAGTGAGTGGTGTACCGTACCGCGCGCGGACACTCGTACACACCACGCTCACATTACACTCACGTACCAATACACTAACACACTACACTCATACACATTACTGTACACATTACACTCATACACACCAGGCTCACATTACACTCACGTACCAATACACTAACACACTACACTCATACACATTACTGTACACATTACACTCACGTACCAATACACTAACACACTACACTCATACACACCACATTACACCCATACACACCAGGCTCACATTACACTCACGTACCAATACACTAACACACTACACTCATACACACCACATTACACTCATACACACCACGCTCACATTACACTCACGTACCAATACACTAACACACTACACTCATACACATTACTGTATACATTACACTCATACACACCCGGCTCACATTACACTCACGTACCCATACACTAACACACTACACTCATACACATTACTGTACACATTACACTCACGTACCAATACACTAACACACTACACTCATACACATTACTGTACACACTACACTCATACACACCAGGCTCACATTACACTCACGTACCAATACACTAACACACTACACTCATACACATTGCTGTACACATTACACTCACGTACCAATACACTAACACACTACACTCATACACACCACGCACACATTACACTCACGTACCAATGCATTAACACACTACACTCATACACATTACTGTACACATTACACTCACGTACCAATACACTAACACACTATACTCATACACATTACTGTACACATTACACTCATACACATTACTGTACACATTACTCACGTACCAATACACTAACACACTACACTCATACACACCACGCTCACAGTACACTCACGTACCAATACACTCAGGTACCAATACATTCATTTACCAATATACTCACGCTACAACAAACTACTGTACACTAAGGGGCCGTCCATAAATGACGTCACGCGATTTTGGCTGATTTTTTAACCCCCCCCCCCTTCGTCACAAAAAGTCAGACCCCCCCCCTCAAATATGACGTCACAAAGCTCTTCCCCCCCCCCCCAAACAATATTTCCATTTTGAAAATAAAACATGCTTCAAATCGCTTTAAACTATTGTCATTGTAGTGCGTATTTAACGTGGCACTGCACTCTGATGTTATAGGAGAAAACACGTATTAAAAAGGTGGCGTTGGAAAGCTGAAATTTAGCGTAAAATTCACTTGAAAATATTTAACGTCTAACTAAAACTGCAGATGTTCAGAATATATTGAAATTCTCTTATAGTTATAAAATGTTAAAAGTAATTCTAACTATGAAAAAATACTTGAAACTTCGTAGTAGAACGAAGCAAAATGGGGAGTACAATTATAAAAATCACATTAATTCTACAGAATGAAAAGCCCTGGTAGAATGATTAAAATCAAAATGTTTAATAACAATCATTCAAAAAATTTACCAAATTTATGGTTCTCCATTCTCCCATGGAGAAGCAAAATGCTGCTTCATGGAATAAATGAAGGGTGAACTTAGTAAATTTAAATAATAAAATAGTTAATAATGAAAATGTATCTAAATTAGTGTTGTTATAACAATTATATTTAATTAAGTAGAACGTGTATTTAAAGTTTCGCATTTTGATGTGACGTCTCATTTCTCAAACCCCCCCCCCCCCCTCGTCACACATCGTCACAAATGTCTGACCCCCCCTCACCCCCTAGGTACGTGACGTCATTTATGGACGGCCCATAATGCACTCTACACCTATTCTAGCTACATTTACACTACACACATACCAATACACTCACGTACTACACTCATAGCAACTACACTACTCACATACCAATACACTCACACACTAAACTCATCTAAAACTACTGTACACTGATAATCTAGATTTGAAGTTTTCGTGACTGCAGGGATCCATACTCTTTGGTTCTTTTGGTAAAGTCACGTAGGTGTAAAATTAAATTAAATCACGACGTTTCGGGCTCAACACAAGCGTCCATCATCAGGTGGGATAACCACAGCAATAAACAATTGCTGAAGTGGGCAAACGGGCTGCTGTACAGCTGGTGACATGCATCTCCAAGAGGCTTTGCTGCGGTGTGGGGTTAGGGCCCTGTAGTTCCTGCTCATCTTTTCTCCTCTTCCCATTCCGCATGCATCCCCCCAGATGTGTGGCAGGGCATATGGAGCCTGGCAACGGGGAGGAGAGCTTCCCAAGTGGACTCCGGGCACGAGTCTCCATCCACCGCCCAGCTGCAAGGACAAGCCGAGACAAGGAGCACGACGAGAAAGATGATCAGCTCTCGCCCACTGGCATCTGGGGTAAAACTGATGTCATGCGTTGTGTTCACTGGAGAAGCAATGCGTGGCACTGGCTTGATGAGACTACAAACGCTGCCCTTGGTTTTCCAGTCATGGTACATGCAGTGCAGTTGGATCCATTGAGGAACTTGAATGCAATAGTAGGGGTTTCACAAGTGATTTCACTGCCAGATAGGCACCGGCAGGTCAATGTACATGTGACGATGTGTAAATCAGTGAATGAGAAATTAATTCGCTGATTTACACATCGTCACATGCCGATGTCACTGTAAGAATTGTATTGTCACTTAAGTAGATCATTTGTTGTCATTTATACAAATGGGGAAAATGAATATGTAGAAGCAATGAAATAAAACAAAGATAATTGGATGATTGATTTGTGTATCACGACCACAAATAATCACGAACATATCATGATTATAAGGCAGAGGTATGATTATTACGTGCCTATCATAATCTTTTGGTTTCTCTGGGGAACTGGTCGGATGAGAGAGATCCCAGCCTCGGTGCATTGGCATCATCATCAAACGCCACATTCAAGTTCCAATTATCAACAAATCTACTTGCATGCATTGCCTGAAGTGGAAAAAAACCCAATGCAGACTTTATAGCCTCCTCTACTTCGAACGATGAGTCATCGCTGCTATGCTGTGCTGGGAATGCAGTGGTGCTTTTTTCCCGATGCTGGGTGCTATGCGTTAATGTTGGCTGTTGTGTGTCGATGCTGGGGGGCTATGTGTCAATGCTGTGCTTTGCATTGTGTGTTTATGTTGGGTGCTGTGTTGATGCTGGGCGGCCGTGTGTCGATGTTTGTGCCCGCAGGCTCGTGCTGGAGGCTGTACGCGGCGCTGTCCACATTCCGGGTGCTGAACTGCCTGCTTGTGCAGTCCAGCTTTGTGCCAGACGAGTACTGGCAGTCGTTGGAGGTGGCACACGCGCTGACATTCGGGTCAGGATACCCTGTAACATTTTAATTTCATCGCTGGGAGGTGAATTGTTAAATGCCTAATATGTCTCGACTCTGGGTCACGACTTGAGTAAAACTCTTATTATTTTTGTTACTTTGTGGTGCATGCAGAGTCTCACAATAAAAAAAACATTTTAATATGCACGAATCATTGCATATAATGGTGAATACTATTTACAGTTGAAAGCCGATATAAACAGAATTCCATTTTGTGTATCCACATACAGATCAAAATGTCTGTTTAGTCCATCACCCTATTGGCTTTCCAGGCCCATGTTATCCAGCAGCATTTGTTAATTGATCGGTTGATGAATTGTTACACACCTATTAGTTATGTATAAAGCAACTAATATTGAAGAATGTCCAAACGGATTGTGTTTTTGGTGCTGTGTTGCACGTTGCCTACTTCCACACAGGTATGGACACTTGACTTGGGAATGGCGGGAGGGCATCCGTGGCTACGCATATCCATTTGCCATTGCACTCCAATACAAGCTGCTGAAGGCCTTGGGTCTGGACTCGACCACACTACTGGTACAGCCTTATCATTTCTTCTGCTCCCACCATCCCCATCACGGTTCTTTCATGTATTGTCTTTCCCTTTGACTAGGGAATTTTTTTTTTCTCAATTTTATTCCAACTGCAGTTTTGTATCGTGTTGTCAGGAGATGAAGATATTTCCACTTGAACGCTACAGCGAGCAGTGCATTACCCTGTGCCAGAGAGAAGTCGCTCAACAAGGGACGCATGTTTGGATGCCCTGAAAACATTGTTGTTCATCGTACAGTAAAATGTCTCCAAGGCAGACGTAGGTAATCCGGATTTCGAAGTAAGGCGAATAGATTATCGTGTTATGGTCGAAACGTCGTGAGAATGTTTATTGTTTTATATATATTATTATTTTATTGTTTCCCTTCAACGTGACTTTACCGAAAGAGCTAAGAATATGAATTACTGCAGTCACGAAAGCTTTAAATCAAAGATTATTGAAATGTTAAGAAAAATGTAAAAATTACACCATTCTAACTGGAACACTTCTCAGGCCAATGAATGAAGTAGGAAATGGTGTAAAGCTCTATGCATATGTTGTGTAGGAAATTCTAGGTGTGCTTATCAAGACTAGAAAGTGATTGATGTTATCCCCAAATCATTGAATACAGTGAGACCTCAGCTCGCCGGACGAATAGGAACCCTGGTCGGGAAAGCTGAGAGATCCAGTTAGCTGAAAAACTAATAAAAATCAATGCAATAAATCACTAACCATCATAAAAACCATCGCAGCTAGCATTAAAAACACATACACAATGAATTTTGATATATTATGAATACATTTTGATGCCATAAAAATGATTAAATAAACTGCATGAAGTATGTGAATTGAACCGTACAGGGTGGGTATGTACTCATCATTGGGGTGTTTGATGCCCTCCGAAATGTAAAAAAGTAGTAATGGGCACCACGGTAGTGAGATGTTGACTACCTCGCCTGGTATACAGGAGGTCGTGGGTTCGATCCCGACCCTGACGCCTGCTGTATATTTGGAGTTTGCGTGTTCTCCCCGTGGTCGCGTGGATTTTCTCGGGGTCCTCCAGTTTTTCCCTTCACATTTAGAAACTTGCATTTAGAGTGTTTGGCTGCTATACATTTCCACATGTTAAGCCACTTCGTTGAGCTATCATTTTTGGTCAGGTCGCAAATGAAAAATAGCTATATAGCTCAGTGGGCCTTACCTGGTAAAATAAAATGTGTTCATAGTTTATAGGCTACAGTAGAGGGAGCCACAATTCACACAGCTACAAATTCTGGGCCACCTACTCTGCGTGCACTGCAGCTCTATTTACTTACCCAAGAAAGCCACATCGAGTCGTCGGATTCTTTTTCATGGGGGTCCTGCATTGGGTTTTTATTGTAAGATGTTTTCAACCAATTAATGAGGTTTACACAAGTGCGAGGAAATTGGACGGGGCACCCGGAGAGAAAATGCACACGTGCGAAGGGGCAACACTCTAATCCCTTTACAGATGGAAACAAATGGGCATTAGTCCACTTTCTGTACTGCCTTCTCGTGGCGAGCCAAGGTATGGCACATGGATGCCCACGGGAATGGAATTTCAGAGCATTTGTATGATCCACAAACTCGCCTCCACAGTGCTGGAATATAGGCCACGTGCATAGCCACCACTGTGGCACAGGAGGCTCTAGATGGCACAGGAGATGGTGCTGAGTTATGTTTTATTTATCCTGCTTTGGTCTGGCTAAATGGAAAAATCCGGTTGCGATAATATTAGTCAATTACATTTATAAAGCGCCTTGGTACAAAGTGCTCAAAGCACTGTACACCACAACGTAGATAGAAAGATGGCCAAGGGAAGGAGAAACTAAGAATCTTATCTAATGTAGACAACCAAGAGCAAGACAATATAAAATTTAGGTGAATTGTGCTGCTCAAAATTGTAAAGCTGAATACAACACTTGTGTTTTATGGAATTTGGTCAATCATGCCGCATGAATGCTGAGCTTGTCCACATGCTTTGCTGGGGCTCTCTTATTTTTTACAAAGAAACAACTCAACTCTTCAAACCTGTGAGAATCGGCCTCCGTTGCTTGGGTTTCACAATTAGTTTGTGTGTGCATGTACACATGTCCGTGCATACAGATATGGCTGCCCAGGCTGTCCCATGCTCTGTTGGCAGCGTTTGCCGACTTGAAGCTCTACCATGCGGCAACCGACCTGTCGGGAGCACGGGTGGCACGCTGGGTGGTGAGGGGCCCTCTCAACGCCAGCTACCCTCACCTACCCACACTCCTATCTCAGCTGACCATACATTCACCCCTACCTTCTCGCACCTGCCCACAATGCACCTGATTTCTGTCACGTGTTTTATTTGTGCACACGTTTTATTTGTGTGAGTTCTTGTCTATGTTTACACGCTTACATTTGTGGGTTGATCTGTTGGCAGTTGTAATGATTAATTAAATAAAATTGATTCCCGAGTTGGCTGGGTGGTGCAGAGGTCAGAGCACTGATCCAGCACTGCTGAGATCCTGGGTTTGAATCCTGGATTTAACCACCTGTGATTAACTGGGTTCTCAAGTGTACCACTTTTGTAGGTTTAAACTTGAACCCAAATTACCGTAAAAAAACGTTAAGTTTGTTTTATTTTTTAAAAATAAAATGTTGCTTATTCCATCCCTGAGACTTCCGTTTTTCAGTTTTACCGCTGTGAAAAGACCCCTGCTTGTAGGGCATTTAAAGGTGCGGATTCATATATGTGCATTCTAATGTCCGTGCGTTCTCATGCTTGTTAGCATGCTGTGCTACGGCCAACACCAGTGAGGTTTATCTGAACTGGTCCTGGGCCTCCCCTAGGTCTACCCAGCCTCAAATTAGTACCTAGTGCGATGTGTAAACATCGCCAAAAGAGAGACATGGGCGGCTGGGCATGCTGCTGGCCACCCACCCCCTCATGTGCCTTGCTGGCCTTTATAGGTGCTCGCTAACAACACTTGCCCCAACAGCCTGTTAAGGCTGCATGGGGAATTTTTGTTTGTCTTTGTTCACACGTGTGTATTCTTACGCATGTGTGTTGCTATGCGCGTGTGTGCAGTTGCTGTGCCAGCTGTGCTCCTGGTTCACGTGGTACTCGTGCACGCGCACGCTCACCAACAGCGTGGAGGCATCACTCACGTGCATCGCCATGGCTCACCTGCCTTGGGCATCACGCAGTCCTCGCAGCAGGTATCTTCATCCCGGGGCTCCACACACAGCCAGTAGATGCCATTGATCAAAGCTCACACACAAACAACAACGGTTGCCATTTTCCACTAAGTGACGTCGCCACGACACTTGTGGCAAAGCTAGGTGCACCTTGAGGCCACGTGAAGTTTCGAAGGCTCGCCGACAGGTCACGGGATAGTCTCAGATGTTATAGTTTTACTGGCTGAGATGACTGGAAAATGCAACACCCGTGTTCCCCCTGTGCCAACTTGGAGTGTTTAGCCACCTGGCACTCTGCTTGTTGTTGTGAGTGTTGCTCATCTGCTCTCCATTGTTGAAGGGTGAATACCTCTAACTTCCCAGTAGCATTTTTCACAGTGGCCGTACTTGACGCTACTGGTAACAATTATCAACAAGTGCATTCTGCTTCAAATCCCTTACCACATCAGTCCATAATTTTTCTACCCCATGCTATGCCGATTTAGTTTAAATAATATATGACCAATATATGCCTGAACAGAATATGCTTGGTTATTCGGTGGTTGGGTATGCGGCCTTCATGACCAAGCCAATGAAGCCTCACCCGCCAGAAGAGTTCACTGATTTGACTGTGTCCATATCTTTCAAAGATTTGTGAGCTCCAAACACAATTCAACCTGGTTAAACCCAGGATGGATTGTAGACAGGCCAATTTCAATGTTTTTTTTTTTAAGCCGACACAGATGTTCCTGTACAGGGGTCCACTAATCGGAAGTTTAAAAAAGAAAGGACACAAGCGTTGCAGGGTCAGACCCCCCTTGACTCATACTGTTTGTATTTGTGTGCGTGCGCAGCATGGCGAGGTCCGTGTGCGTGCTTGTGCTGGCCGTGCTCGTCAGGTCAACGGCGGCCGTGCCGTGGTCGCTGCCCATGGCGGTTGCACTTTGGCGCCAGAGACCCCCGCCATGGGCCCCACTTGGACACTCACTTGCAATCGGGTGAGGGCCCAACCACACTGGGTGGTCTGGAGGTAGTGCCGGGTGGTCTGGAGGTAGTGCCGGGTGGTCTGGAGGTAGTGCTGGGTGGTCTAGAGGTAGCGCTGGGTGGTCTAGAGGTAGCGCTGGGTGGTCTAGAGGTAGCGCTGGGTGGTCTAGAGGTAGTGCTAGGTGGTCTGGAGGTAGCGCTGGGTGGACTAGAGTAGCGCTGGGTGGTCTGGAGGTAGTGCTGGGTGGTCTGGAGGTAGTGCTGGGTGGTCTGGAGGTAGCGCTGGGTGGTCTAGAGGTAGTGCTGGGTGGTCTAGAGGTAGTGCTGGGTGGACTAGAGTAGTGCTGGGTGGTCTGGAGGTAGTGCTGGGTGGTCTAGAGGTAGTGCTGGGTGGTCTGGAGGTAGCGCTGGGTGGTCTAGAGGTAGTGCTGGGTGGACTGGAGGTAGTGCTGGGTGGACTAGAGTAGTGCTGGGTGGTCTAGAGGTAGTGCTGGGTGGTCTAGAGGTAGTGCTGGGTGGTCTGGAGGTAGTGCTGGGTGGTCTGGATGGTAGTGCTGGGTGGACTGGAGGTAGTGCTGGGTGGTCTGGTGGTAGTGCTGGGTGGACTAGAGTAGCGCTGGGTGGTCTGGAGGTAGTGCTGGGTGGTCTAGAGGTAGCACTGGGTGGTCTGGAGGTAGTGCTGGATGGTCTAGAGTAGCGCTGGGTGATCTGGAGGTAGTGCTGGGTGGTCTAGAGGTAGTGCTGGGTGGTCTAAAGGTAGTGCTGGGTGGACTAGAGCAGTGCTGGGTGGACTAGAGTAGTACTGGGTGGTCTGAAGGTAGCGCTGGGTGGTCTGGAGGTAGTGCTGGGAGGTCTGGAGGTAGTGCTGGGTGGACTAGAGTAGCGCTGGGTGGTCTGGAGGTAGTGCTGGGAGGCATGTGTGCCTGCACGTTCTTACGTGTGTATATATAGCGTGTGCGTGTGCCAAAGAAATCCATGTGTGTTCTTGTGTTAGTTGATCATCCTGGAGGAACCTCTGAGAGGGGGGTTCAGTCTGGCTCTGCCAGATGGAGTTTGACCAAAAGTGCACCTGGCCTGGCACAGGCGCTGTGGTGCACATCACCGTCACTTAGTGGCAAATGACAGGTATTGGTTGTTCATTCTTGTTTGTGCACTCTGTGCATTGTATGTGTGTTACCCGCAGCCTTGCAGGCCTCACTGCATCACTGCTCATTGACCGGATGTGCTACGGGGAGGTGAGTGTGTTCACTGCTTGATGAGACTCACAACCATAACCAATGTGTAACCCCCACTTACACCCACCTTTCTTGGGTGGCTGGATGACTCAGAGGGATCATAATGGCTTTTATTGAGACATTGAGCAAACCTCTGAGATTTGGAGGTTAGTTGAGACATTGGGCTGTGAGCGTGTCTCTACTTCGAGGCTGATAGGTATTTAACAATTGATCACTTCATAGATTACAAATTATGAATATACCCATGGATACGTGCATTAAATTGTGCTTGTAAGAATTCATTATTCTTTATACAAATCGTAAACTGTTACAATTAGGCTAATAGAACAAGCAAGGCAGAATGAGACAGGCATTACTAATAACAGTACAAATGTGACAAAAACATTTGTAATCTTCAACGCATATAATGCGTTGCATTGAAGGTTGTTACATGCTTACATGCTCCTGGCCATCATGGCCATGTTGGAGACACTGAGCCATTACTGCTAATATCCTAGAAATCTCCGGCACCCACCCATGAAATGACACCGTGCTCCAATCTGTGGCAAGTCGACTGTTTTATCACAGTCGCAATTGAAAGACGTTTTTTAATCTGCTTTACTCTTCGGATTTACGTGAACTCATGTGTTGGGTGAGGGAGGAATATTGAAGAAGATACATTAATTGAAGTGATTCTCGTTTAATGAGGGGTTGTGTGCCTGGAGTTGTGTAATGGGTGTCGTGTACCGGGGGTGGGGTGGTTGCTAAGAGCTGCACTCTGCTCGCAGTGGGTGTGCGTGCAGCTGCGCTTCTTCTTGGTGAATGCGGCCCGGGACATCGGCTCATTCTACGGGAGCCACCCGTGGCACTGGTACCTGAGCCAGGGCCTCCCGGCTGTGCTGGGGCCGCTGCTGCCGCTGGCGCTCGCCGGGTGGCGACACGCGCCGCTCACTATGCGCGGAGCTGTGCTGGTCACCCTGCTGACGTACAGGCGAGTGTGTGGTCTCAGACTGTGGCTCACACAGACGATGTACCACTTACAAAGGCAGTGCAAAGAGGAATCGAGAGCCTGAAATCAGGTAACTTACTGGGTAGAGGTGACCTCCCAAGCAAACTTCTGATTGAGGATGGCAATTGTGTTCAGGTTGCCTTACATGACATCACTGCAAAACACGCCATCATTATTCTGAACAATCGATCTAAAATCCCTTCTTGCGACACATCCGACACAAGTTTCCTTACTGTTATGAAAAGTTTGCATGATGTGTTTAACCGGTGTATCTTATCTATTCCATGTGCTCCTCTTTATGTCTTTTAATAATATTTCACACATTCTCCTCTCCATGCTTATTTTCGCACTTTCCATTGTCTTCGTCAATGTCCATGTTTCTGATCCATTTGTCAAAGCAGGTGATGTGCATTCATAAAATAAACACTTCCGATAACAAATGCCTGTTGGAAAGCATAAAAATAGTAACAGAGATAAGTTATTGGCACTCAAAATGTATTGACTGCAAGTATAAATGTGTGTAAATATGCATATTTGTTGCGTGCATATCTGGGCCTCACAGCCTCCTGAGTCACAAGGAATTTCGCTTCATCTACCCCGTGCTACCTTTCTGCCTCATCATGTGTGGTGAGAGGAATGTCAAGCACACAATAAATGTGAACAATGAGCATGCTTGGTAGAATATGTGTAATCATCAGCATGCCGTTATTGAATTTTTTAACGATGTTTGCAGAAAAATTTGCTTAGATCTCACACCCCATGCCGCTCGCTGCCATGCCGCCCCCTCGTACCGCTTCTCTGCTGTCCCACGCCCCCTTCCCTGTATCACCCCAGGCCACAGTCTGCGACGCCTGTGGTCTCCGGGAGCCACGCGGGGGCTGCTCCTCGCTGCCCGACGGGGCCTGGCGCTGGTGCTGCTGCTGTCGAGCTTGATGGGCGGCCTCTACCTGGGTCTAGTGCATCAGCGTGGCACACTTGACGTGATGGGCGACGTGCGAGCCCTGTGTGGGCCCTCTGAGGCTCAGCGCTCTGTGTGGTTCCTCACGCCGTGCCACAGCACGCCGCTGTACAGGTGCAGCCAGACAGCACGGCCAGAGCCCGGCATGTTACCTAGAACAGACGACTTGCACAGAAAACTCATAACACATAAGCACTATAGCATAGAAAGCCAGACAACTGTGAACACACACACAACCAGGAATGCATAAACGCATGACCCACAAAGACAGCAACCTGGAACACATAGACAACTTTAAACATTCAGAAACAAAACTCAAAACACAAAGTCATACAACCCAGAACACAAATATATAAGCCCAGAAAGTATGGACTGTTGAGCTGGAACACATAAGCAATCTGAAATAGACAGACATAGCATAAAACACGCAGACACAACAAACATGAAACTAAACATATGGATGGGTGACAATAATGAACACAACCTGGAACACATACAAAAAAGTGCATACGAGACAGAATTCCCAAGAATCCCTTTCCCCACTCTCCATCCTATATTTCTCCCTCACTCCACGTGCCCTCCCAGCCACGTGCACTGCCGGTTGGACCTGCGCATCCTGGAGTGTCCGCCAGACCTCGACGGGAACCCTGACTACCGGGAAGAGGCAGAGGAGTTTTACCGTGAGCCTGTCCAGTGGCTGCGAGCTGAGTTTTCTGTGAGAAGGGAACCTTCCCACGTGGTGCTGTTCAACACCCTCGAGCCTGTGAGTGACCTCCTTGGTGAAACACGGGGGGGCTGGGGCCACGTGTGTGTGCTTCCCTGTGATGAGAGAGCAGAGCCTTTGTTGAAAACTGATTTGATTTGATTGGCTTTGTCAGGTGGTTGAGGGTTATGGTAAAAACAAATTGCATATCTACATGAACCCAAAAGCAGCTAATTATGAATTACATGTGTGGTTATTTGTGTGTGTGTGACTGTACCAGAGGAATTTCCCCCTTTATGCATTCAGGCTAGCCTGCCTTCGATCCATCCTGGGTTTAACCAAACTGGGTTGTGTGAGGAGCTCACAGATCTTGAAAGATTTAGACAGTACTATCAGTGACCTCCGGCAGGTGACGTTGCATTGGCTGGGCATGTAGCCCCGATGCTCAGTCACCACATGGCCAAGCAGCTTCTGCTTGGCCTGATAGAGGAAACTACACGGCCATGGGCTAGAGGAGAGATAGGCTGAACGTGGTCAGGTGGATTTGGAGCTGATTGGACTTGCCAATGACTGGTACCATCAGTGTTAAGATCGGCTTCTGTGAAGGAGGCTCGTTATGGACCAGATTGGTAAGTTTCCCTCCAACAACGACAAAGAGCAAAGGAGAGACGCTCAGACAATGAGTAAAGGACCAGGCGACCAAAATATAGCAAATTAGCGGTGAGGAGCTTAGGTGGTGCATCTGTCAGTATTCTCAAGTTAACCATAAAACTCGGATTTGTCCTATGACCTGCCAGCGAGCCTTCAACAATTCATGTGGCCTTAAAGAACACCTCGCCTGAACAAGCGCTGTGGTGATGTCACCATCAATTATTGGTAAATGGCAACAGTTTTTTTGGTGTATTAGAGTGTGTTGAGTGTTTGTACGTATATTTGTGTGTGTGTTTGAATTATGTTTAGGTGTATATATGAATATACCTACAATACAACTTCCTGACGCCATAAATTGGAGTATGCCGGAAGACCAAACATAATAAAGAAATACCTTTTAAAAACGTTTATTAAATGTCTTAGGTCTTAATTAAGTGTTAATGCAATACAAATTTCATAATTATGTATATTTTCAGTATGCTGGACATCCCTCATAACCAGAAAAGATCTTTCTCCAATTAAAATGCAACATGATGTCGTGTAATACCAAGATCATAGTTATGTGCTGTAACTGAAGCACTGTCCCTGACCTCCCTCCCTTTGTTCCTCATTCAGGTTGTGGAAAAGTTCTTGGCCGAGCGAGGTTTCGTCAGAACAGCCTCTCACTTCCATACACACTTCCCTGAAGGGCGGCTCGGTAGCCACATCGGCTTATTCGAGCGACAAAATGTGAGCCAGATTGGCAGCTGACTTCTTGCCAAGCTTGTTCACCCCCAATGCTCTTTTGAGGGCAGGCGTGGAGGAGGAGAGGCAAGATGAAATGAGAGACGAGGCAAAAGTTGATGAGATGAGAAGAGATTGGATGACATTAGATGAAAGATTAATTGAGACATGAGAGAACAGACTCGATAGGATAAGGTTTTAAACAATCAACGTGGTTGATTGCTTCTGAACATTTTAAATCATTGCCTTATACTTCTCATACAGTCAACACTTGTTTATCCAGAGTAATGGGAGGAGGGGTGGCTTGGATAAAACAACAACTCGGATAAATGACGGTAAACACATTTATTATTTACCTATTTAGAATGGTGATAAAAATGAAGGTGATGTCTATAGTCTTAGCTCTTTCGGTAAAGTCACGTTGAAGGGAAACAATAAAATAATAAAATGTATATAAAACAATAACAATTTCCTTTCAACGTGACTTTACCGAAAGAGCTAAGCATATGAATTACTGCAGTCACGAAAGCTTTAAATCAAAATGTAAGGTGATGTCTGTTTTAAGTGAGTTTTAAAGCTATTGCTTTACTTTCCAACATGTTTGTGGTCACATAAACACTAAGGTACTTACCCCCGATAAGTGAGGAGCAGCTAATAAATAAACCAGCATGTGTGTAGAAACATTTAAATGTATTTTCTCAAACACGGTTCATTCGCAAGATGGATGTGCCCGCAAATAATTGAGCGTTAACTATGGCTTGCACCTCGGTTACGTTATAGATTTGTGTAAAAAAAATCCACTGAAAACTGTTAACTTGTATGGTTTATTTTTTTGTCTTTCTGTTGTGGAAATTATTGTTTCTAAAAACTTGAGAAGAAATTAAATGAAACATAAAATTCCAAGATACACCATGTCATATACCTTGAGTACAGTTATTTACTATTCGTGTTGAGGAAAGCGTCACCGAGTCTTAATATGCTCCGGCATGCTAATAGGGGTTTTCCCCTTTTTTCTGGCAACAAAACTGACACCTTTTGCAAGGAATCATGTTAACATTAACCACAATACTTGCAGTCAAGTGCAAACAAAAAACAATCCTCTGATAATTTATGCATCGTCCTTGAAACTGATTGGTCCACACCAGAGACGGCTTTTCTTAGAGCCTAGTCTCACACGGTGTTCGACCAGATTAAGCCAAAAGGCGCACAGTTCAAAGACAACGCACTATCAGAGTAATGAGAGCTCGGGGTAAGCATACATTATCAGAGGATTGTTTTTTGTTTGCATTTGACTGCAAGTATTGTGGTTAATGTTAACATGATTCCTTGCAAAAGGTGTCAGTTTTGTTGCCAGAAAAAAGGGGAAAAAACCCTATTAGTATATTTTGGTACTGGCAAAGTAGGCCTCATGACTCGGGCAGGCCGTTTGTTATGTCGGGACAGTCGAGAAAGTTTTTTGGCCTTTGAATTTCCACTATTGGTACTTTGTTTTTCCCTCCCCCCAATGATTTACATTGTACTGTTAACATCATGTCTTGAGATGGATAAGCCATTCAGGGATTTCACAGAGAAGTGCACCGGTCATCAGAGAAAAGCTATGGAAGCAATTTTTTTTTTATCCCCAGGATTTCTCCTGAATAATTGTGTTACCTTTCACACATCAACGGTGCCACGCCCTGTCTCGTTTGATTCTCCTTTCACTTCCCGTACTCTGTACTTCCCGAAACACTTTTACTGAGGCAACAACTGAATTTGGGGCAAATATTATACATTTTTTGCAACAAATGGAGTGAGTCCACAGTTTCAGCACTGCAAGTGGCCCTGTATTCCGATCAAGTGGATATTCCAGCCAGAGGCCTGCAGACTACTTAAGCGTGTAATGAGTCAACCCTCAGTGATTCAATTAATTCACACAAATTTATTTATTGATTTTTTAAATTACAGTTGTAGCTGTAGTATTAGCATACAATTGGCATAAATCGATAATTACATGCACACTTTAATTCATGTATTGTAAGTGTAGAAATACATTTAAAACGTTTCATCAATGCATCATTGCATGCTTTTTTGGCTCCGTGACATAAAGCAGCCTTGCGACAATGTGCTGAGTATTCCGAACAAAGATGAAACTGTACATCACGGATGAAACTGCACATCACAGATGAAACTGCACATCACGGATGAAACTGCACATCACACATGAAACTGCACATCACAGCTGTGAGCTACAACCACATCGCCTGTGATCGTCGTCACGTTTCCGCCTGGACAATGTTGAGGAGGTACGGCCGCTTGCCGACAGACACTATGGCGTGGTTGGCCTTGCAATCGCAAAATAACTTTTGCGTTCTGTGCCTTTTGGCTTGTGTGTGGTGTACATGGTAACATCAGGCCTACATGTATGTTCAATGCAATAACAATACAGTACTTTTTTATGAAGTGTATCATTACAACCCTCCTCGCGCACGCGGAGCGATTCGATATCACAATTTTGTTGGCTCGCGAGTGAAATCAACAAAAGGTTCTTGCAGGGACGGAGCAAGGATTTTGACTTTGGTGGGGGGGGGGGGGGGCTGACTTCAATATTCTGAGATATCTCAGTGTTTATGTTTTCCGAAAGGGCATCACAAATGTATAAAACAAATTTTATTGGCTTTGAACGCGGAGTTTATTAATAGGTCGGAGCCGCTGATGTGGCTAATAATTTCGATAAGTTCTAAAGGCTGCCGCTCAAGCAGACTGCAGGGCAGCAGCACGAGGTGGCAGCCTGCAGGGCAGCACACAAGGTGGCAGCCTGCAGGGCAGCACAAAGTGGCAGCCTGCAGGGCAGCACACAAGGTGGCAGCCGGCAGGGCAGCACAAGGTGGCAGCCTTCAGGGCAGCACGAGGTGACAGCCTGCAGGGCAGCACGAGGTGGCAGCACACAAGGTGGCAGCCTGCAGGGCAGCACGAGGTGGCAGCCTGCAGGGCAGCACAAGGTGGCAGCCTTCAGGGCAGCACGAGGTGACAGCCTGCAGGGCAGCACACAAGGTGGCAGCCTGCAGGGCAGCACAAAGTGGCAGCCTGCAGGGCAGCACACAAGGTGGCAGCCTGCAGGGCAGCACAAGGTGGCAGCCTGCAGGGCAGCACACAAGGTGGCAGCATACAAGGTGACAGCCTGCAGGGCAGCACACAAGGTGGCAGCACACAAGGTGACAGCCTGCAGGGCAGCACACAAGGTGGCAGCCTGCAGGGCAGCACACGAGGTGGCAGCCTGCAGGGCAGCAGCACGAGGTGACAGCCTGCAGGGCAGCACACAAGGTGACAGCCTGCAGGGCAGCACGAGGTGGCAGCCTGCAGGGCAGCACGAGGTGACAGCCTGCAGGAAAGCAGCACGAGGTGGCAGCCTGTAAAATTTTCAGCAACCGGATATCCGGTTATCCCGATTACCGGATATCCGGTTATCTCGATTACCGACTTTACCAAATTTCAAGGGGGGCTGAGCCCCCCGCCAGCCCCTCCCCCCCCCCGTGGCTCCGCCCCTGTGTTCTCGTCTTATTTCAGTCTCGTTTATATAACTTCTTGAGTTGTTTGTGCGACTTTGCTCAGTGATCCTAAACGCAACGTGTGATTTGCACAATGCATACGTTGTAAATGATCGATTCTCACAACTCATTGCTTAACTATCACGACTATGATCATTTTATTTTATTAATTGATACATCATTACACGCATATTATGAAATGTTCATGATGACACATAGAAGGGAAACAATAACAATATGATTTTATGATCTTAAACTATTAAGAAATAATATTTTATTGTTTCCCTTCGACGTGACTTTACCGAAAGAACCAAGAATATGAATCCCTGCAGTCACAAAAGCTTGAAATCAAAATTTTACTCTTAATTGCTTATACCGTTCCCAAATGTATTCCCAAGAAGAATGCTGGAAGAAAAAAAATGTGCATTTTACAAAAACATTAATTTTGACGTATTGGCGGTACACCGGTGCAGCATAACACACCGGTCCTTAGTAAAAAAAAAATCTAAATTCTAATCAGCAACTTTGTTTATTATTCTGTAATTGACTTATGTTCGACGCGATTCGAAGGTTTATTAATTCTACTCATACTCTTTGGTTCTATTCGGTAAAGTCACGTAGGTAAAAAATAAAATAACAAAAATCACGACGTTTCGGCCACAACACAAGTGGCCTTCATCAGGTGAAGGGACCGTGCTGTCATGACGACAGCGTTGGAGTGACAGCACAGTCCCTTCACCTGATGAAGGCCACTTGTGTTGTGGCCGAAACGTCGTGATTTTTGTTATTTTATTTTTTACCTACGTGACTTTACCGAATAGAACCAAAGATTATGGATCCTTGCAGTCACGAAAGCTTCAAATCTAGAATTAAGTCTACTCAGTCTACTGACACTTGACATGGGCCCGTTGAATCGCGGAACCGTCTGACCAAGTCAAATCGTGCCTTTGGCACGCGGAGGCAGTCGTCATCTGGCTGGGTGCTGTCTGGCAACAACATACTGAAGCTTCGCGTTCAGCTCATCAAAACATTCGGCTTCTGGTTTGCTTCGACACCGCGCGAGAACTGATTTTTCACGCAGCACCCCGTAAGATTTTCCGACCGGGGTTGCGAATCGCAGAAATAAGAATAATTGTTGCGTTAAAAAAAATGTGCTTTTCTTTATACTGCGCAACGGTGTACCGCCAATACGTTCATTTACAGGATACGCACGCAGTACTAAAGTGCTGCGTGATAGATCGTAGCATAATAAGCCTCAGCGGGCTGCAAAGTCAGCGAGTTTTACCAGGGGGTGCCACGTGCTGTTTGTTTCAAATAGCTCGACTTAACAAATAATGGGGTAATAAAAAAGGTGCACAAAGAAGCGAGGAAAGATGCACACTTGGAATTATGTATGGTTACGAAAGAAGTTCAACATACATGCGAAAGAGGAACACATGGAGGAGAGGACATGCACATGTGAACGGCATGATCTTAAACTATTAAGAAAAGTAAATGGGCTTGAGCACCACCACGTTATGGTTAGAAGGGATGATGACCGATGGTCAGCAGCAGCCAGGGAACAATGTGTCTCGCCGGACGTCTACCAAGGAGATGGAGATTAACTCTGTTTGTGCACAGGTACTACATAGATTATTACATTGCGTGATTGTGAGAGTTGGCAGAGGCTTGGGAAGGTTGTAATCCAGAAGAAAAACATCGTTATATGCAGGACAAGTTATATCCGTGTCAAGTAATTATATAAGTATGTTTTATTCATATGTCCTATTGCTCGTTGCATGTCAGTCAATCTGGCCCTCAACGCAAATTAATTGGACACAATTAGCATGAAAATCCTCTCGGCCAGGTGTCGACAGCCTGCGGCTGTTTGGCTACCCCCTTTCGGGCAGCCGTTAATTTTTTTTAATATACATAATTTCACATAAAGATCATTTATTAAATATGGCAGGGGATGGGTCACTAGGGAATGTCTTCGTGACAACAAAATGTACAGTCAAACCATATTGTTAAAGAATAACTAAACAGGGAAAAAACAAAATACAGTAGACAGTTTATTTAATCACCTATTTTGTATATTTACGTCAGAATGTGTTTGTAATCTGCTGTATACCTGCTATGTTTGTGTAGGTCTGCGTTTAATGTGGCTCTCGAACTATTTTGGTCAAAGAAAAAAAATGGCTCTTCTTATTTGAAAGGTTGCCAACCCCTGCTCTAAACCGAAGGGATTTATCTATATGACTGGTCTATAGATCCAAAAGGATTGGCCTACAGCTTAAACATAATCTGGAATGGTCTATATGACAAATCCTACTATACTACTGTACATTATAGGACCTAGAGGACAGGTCTCCCCTAGACTAGGTCTTAAAGGGTTCATCTACAATAATTAAATATCTCTAGGACTGGTATAGTGACTCTTCTTCACCTCTAGCACTAATTTACAGGACTAGACTACATCCATCGGGCAGTTCCCGCCCATCTACATCACTGTGATGTTGTCGTCGTCGCTTGGCAGCCTGTGTGGCTGCTTTGCTGGGCCCGGCCAAGGCATCCCGCAGGCCCTGCCAGAATATCTTCTGAGCATGGGGGTTGGTCGGCCAGCGCAGAATGGAGCCGGGGCTCAGTCGCTGTCGGAGACGCATATACCGTGAGCGTGTGAAGGATGAGCGCATCCTCTCCAGCATCACTAGGATCACCATATCCACCTTCTCATCCAGCAGCCTCTGATGTGACATGAGGAAGGCCTCACGGAACCGACCCGACGCCGCAAAAGCCCGTGTAAGGACAAACACAGTTCTCCTGCTGGCGTGCACGCTTGCCACCAAGTTGTCAGCCACGCTCATCCCAGGTACCCAGTCCCGGTCCTCTAAACACAACCGGAAAGTGCGTTGGGCCCCATATGGGCCAGCCTCCTCCATGTGGACACGCATTTCTTGTAGGACCCACTCGCACACGTCCATGTCGCTCGAGTCGTATGCCACAAAGGCATCATAGCCGCACTCAAGCTTGCGATAGTCCTGGCCATTGGAGCCACTACCACCATTAGAGTGACCACGGCAGCACCGTGCGGCGTAAAAACGCGCGGTGTACGCAACGTCCCAGCGGTAGCGTGCCCACACAAACGACGAGGCCATCAGCAATAATATGATCGTATTGTAGAGCAGGAACAGTCCCAGCATGAGTCCAATGAACTCGCACTCCAAGAAGTCCAGGGTGACTAGGACACTCTTGTGGCGGTGCCCATCGGGCCGGTCACACAGGAGCCCCGTGGCGACATGTGGGATGTTCACATCAGTGCTATTGATCCACTGTGCCAGCCAGATGTTCTCACAGGTACAGAGAAACGGGTTCCCTTCCAGCATCAGTTTTTGCAAGTGATCAAGGGCATCTTTGGGGAAATCATCACGGTGAGCTCCATCAATTTTATTGTATGCAACATCCAGGATAGCAAGGCTTGGGGCATGCAGCAAGAAGTACCTGCTGATTGTGGTCAGATGGTTGTGGCTGATGGACAGCTTGGTAATGGAGATATTGAAGTCTAGCAGAGAAATGGGTAGTGCCTGAAGTCGGTTGTAGTCTAGTGACAGCACGCTAAGGTTGGCCATGTACCGTAGTTCATCCCACGGGAAATTGTTCAGATGGTTGTGGTTTGCGATCAACTCCCGAATGTTCCTCAGGTGGAGGAGGACACTGCCATTTGGGATGGAATTTAGGTTGTTATAGGATATGTTGAGCATTTTTATATGTGTCAGGTTCTCGAACACGTTGTAGTTGTTCTCATTGCCATCTTCCCATAGTACATTCAGGTTGTTTCCGTCGAAGTGGAGATCAGTGAGGGTGTGGCTGCGAATTACCGTCGTGGGCCCCAGGCTCTTGATCCCATTCCAGCCTAGGTTAAGCTTCCGTAGTAATGTCATGTTGGAGATGAAATTTATATTGTGCACAATGCCATCCATGGAGAAGTAGTGTCTGTTGTAGCTCAGGTCCAGTACCTCCAGGCTCTTTAGTTCAGTCAGAGCACTAGAGTGGAAGAGGTCCAGACGGTTGAAGGAGAGGTCAAGGTACTTCAGGTTGGGGAGGTTGACAAATTCCGATCCATTAAGAGTCTGCCCAATGGCGTTGGTGCTTAAATTTAGGCAGTGTACATCCTCAGCGCCATTGAACTGCATTGGATTTATGAAGAAGATGTTATTGACACTGAGGTCCAGTAACTTCCCATATGACTTGCACTCCTCATACTTTGCTGAGGTAATGGAATGGGTTCTATCATCTAAAATGATTCTCTCAATTCCCGGGACCTTTTGGGACTCACCTAACCCGAATTGAAGGCCCTCCCCTCGCTTCTCCACAGGTGGCGAGATCTGGTTCTGCGAGAGGAAGATGCTGCTGAGCCCACTCATTTTTTTGAAGATGGCAAGGTCCAGGTGATTTATGAAGTTAATGCCCAAGTCAAGTGAAGTGAGGTGTGACAGGTTGTGGAGGACATCGATCTGAGAGTCCTCAAGGCGCTCAAACACATAGCCCTTGATCATCAGCTTCTTGAGTGAGGTAAGTGCCGCAAAGTGCGATGACAGATTAAGTTCCTTGAAGTAATGGCCTGGCTCATAGTTAAAAGACAGGTCCAGCACCTCCAGTCGCTTCAGGTGGAGCAGGAAGGAGCCCTCAGCCAGTGCTTTTGCGAGATAGTTGAGGGAGAGGTCAAGGTGAGTGAGATGGGGGTTATTCTTGAACATCTGACTGGGAATGCTCCGCAGTGACACAGAGCGCAGATTCAGGCTGCGAAGTTCAGTTACATTAAAGAAAGCATCATGGGTGATGTTGAGGGGTCCATTATCTGGACACGGGTGGCACGGGTAAGGGGCATTGTAGCAGCGTGGGCAGTTCATGCTGAGGTCCAGCAAGCACAGGGAGGAGAGGCCGCTCAGATGCTTCTGCTCGAAGGTGCGCAGCTGGTTCCCGCTCAAGTCCAGTAGTGTCAGAGAGGCAGGCAGGCCAGTCGGGGGGTTGCTTACATTGTTGCTAGGCAGGTGCAGCTCGGACAGGTTGAAAGCACTGAAGGCACCTGGCTCCACACCGAATGCCCGGCCACATGGGTTGTGCACAAAGCAGTTGTACCCCAGGTGAAGGATTCTAAGTGCTGAATGGTACTCAAAGTCTGAGGCGAAGACCTGGGAAATGCGGTTGAACTGTAAGTTCAGGGTGTGAAGGCTCCGTGGGAGTTCCGATGGCACCCGAGAGAAGCTATTGCCACCAAGGTTGAGTGAAGAGAGGTTGAGTGAGGAGAGTGCAGCCGCGCCAAGTGTGAAGTTACCGTTGTCGCACGGGCAGTTTGGGGAGGTCACACTGGAAGGGCAGTTTCCACTCAGGTCAAGGTCCCGGAGAGTGTCCTGGGTGGGTGGTGGGAGGTAGGGGGTGGGGGTCACTTAAGATTACAGTAGGTGATGATTGGAGAAATTATTATGGTACAGTAATGAGGATTGGTCCAATGCTGATGTCTGCTGTAATAATAATTTCAACACGTAGGCTTTCGCGACCAATATCATCCATAATAGAGGAGATTGGGTTAGATCGCGTAAATATATAAATGTGTTGTTAAAACCCGCCACCACCCGACACAGCCAACTAGTAAGGGTTGTCACGTAAATAGAACATGACAATTCGTCACTAATACAGCACACCGGTGTGTTGGAGAGCCAAGCCACAACATTTACCATCTTGAGTACGACGTTTCGCCAGTAATTACAACTAATCATCAGGCGACAGCCAGATTTGTGGAGAAGTCTTACTGTTTCGTTCTTATATAGAGGCGTAGATGTGGCATAATGCACATGCATAATGTAACGTTGCCTAAGAAATACCCCCCTCCCCACATTGTGCAAGAGCACAGCTGCGTGGTCAAGACATCTACGCCTCTATATAAGGAACGAAACAGTAAGGCTTCTCCACAAATCTGGCTGTCGCCTGATGAAGTTAGTTGTAATTATTGGCGAAATGTCGTACTCAGGTTTTAAATGTTGTGGCTTGGCTCTCCAACACACCGGTGTGCTGTACTAGCGACGAATTGGCATGTTCTGTTTACGTGACAACCCTTACTAGTTGGCCGTGTCGGGTGGTGGCGGGTTTTAACGACATATTTATATATTTACGCGATCTAACGCAAACACCTCTTATGGATGATAATCATTATTAAGATGGTGCTTACAGTGCTGCTGCTATTCATTCAGACAATGATTCCCATACTCCTAGTTGTGCCAATGTTTCTGTTGTATTGCTGCTGATAATTATGGTGAAACTGGTGCTTCCAGTACTGCTGATGATTGTGATGACAACGATAATATTGCTGCTGAAGATCATATTTCCCTCTCATGATTAAGATTGTATATTTAGTCATGGTGTTGCAAGACCAATGGATGATGAAAACAATTGTTAAACAATATATCATTGTAGAAACATTTTTCGGACGAAAGCAGGTCTATAAATTTGAAATCGATCGAAGCACAGTCTCAGAGTGAATTTTCTGTCCATGAAGCCGAATAGTAAATTTGACTGGCTGCAACTGAGCACCTTTTGCCTCGTCCTTTCTCATTTATCATAGGGTATTCACTTAAAAAAAAACAATGCATCTCAAAATTATACCGAATCAACGGAATACACCATATCCTATCAGTGATACCATTTTTTATATGAACGTTATTTGTTGAATCCTGAAATTCACCACTTTTTCTATTTTATTGTATGCCAATCGAGACGTGTACTACAGTACATGACAATACTGTACAGATCCCTCATTGGAAAGACAATGTCTAATTCAGAGAATTCAGTTCAGTTCCATTTATTTGGTATAGACATGAGGAAGGCTTATTAAAAAATAATAATGTAATGCTTCTGCCAACGATGACAATGTGTGCTCTGTTGCTACTGATGGTGATGACAATATTGGTACCTGGAAATGGATGAAATCGTCCCGCTGCACACCACAGATTTTGTTGTTGCTCAGGTTCAACTGTGTGACGTGTTTTGGGATTCCAAACGGAATATGGGTCAGGCCCAGGCCGGAGCAGTCGACCGTGATGGCCGCGGTCTCTTTAACGACGTCCACTTCGCAGGGCAGGGTCCTTGGCCACGAGCGGCCACCTCCACGGGGCTGCATTGGGATGGGAGTGGTCCCACGTGGCAGGAGAAGCAGGTGGAGCAGTAGGAAAAATGGGGCGGTGTGGAGTCTGATGAAGGTTGAGTAAGGCATCGTTGTGGTTGTTTCGGACTCTTGTGGGTCTGGGGTGGACCTTGGGCAGGAATTAGGAGAAATAACGATCAACAGCAGCAACATTAACAGCATCAGAGTGATTGTTCACAGCAGCAGCAACAACAGGCGTCGTATAAATCAGTATTGTACAACGTGCATTCGTATGACAAGGCTCGTGCTTTGCACAGCAACAACCATAGTCGCCTTCCCACTAAGCAGTGCAGCTTCACAAACCTTGGAGGTATTATGTTGGTAATGATGGAGATGTACTTGCGCTACTGCTGATGTCTCTGCGAATGGCAGTGATGATGTTCATTGTGGTGGTCTTGATGATGTATCGTATTATTGCCACCCACCTTGCGCAGACTTTCCGAAAGTGACTGGTAGAGGAACTGGGTTTTAGAAGGTCGCATGAAATGATGGTGACGTTAGGGCGTGGGGGGCGGAGTCAGATCAGGGCAGGGTGAAGTGATGGTTTTAGTGCGGAAGGCAGGGGACACCTGCAAGTGAAATGTGATTTCTAGAGGGTATGGGGACCAAAGAGCCGTGATCAGGAGAAGGAGGCTTCAGGAAACAGATAAGGGGAAGTAATTAGTTTTACTTTGGGTGCGAAAATGTGTGGTTTATTATCAGTGCAACGCATTTTTTTGTGAGAACCTTTGGTAATCCTGGTAATAAATTGTGTTGGAAAAATGCTCAACTTAAATTTCAATCTAGCAAGGAAGACTTGGTGTTAGGAACATTCTACTGAAGTTAAACATATTGGCATAAAACTGGACATAATGACACCACATAATTGACTACAACTTTGTCGCAGCAAAAAGTGAATCATCAGTAAGTAGACAGTTCAAAAAAAGTAACTTATTAATTATTGTCTCTCAATTTCAGTTCAATTACAAATATGTCATCTTATGATTTTTAGAGTTCTAAATTTTTGATTAATAAGAATTGGTCGACATGCTATTACAGTTCAGATGATAAATGTTTTGTATCAGACGGGACAAGGGTTATCTCGTTCGGGGTTGTATATCGAATGAGATGAGGCTTCTATGTCATTCAGGTTGGTGTAGTTGGTGGTTTAAGGTTTGATGTAGAAGTCTGTATATTACTGTTCAAATCAGTACTTTGGTTTTGCTCAACTCCGTTAAAGGTCGAGTCATCGGTAAAAAAGAAATCCTCAATTCCATGTTTGGAGCCAGTCTATCCATAGGATTTAGTAAACCTGTACATTGTATACCAAATCATGGCATTTTTATTCAACTTAAAACTTGTATTCAATGTGTTGCAGTTGAATAATTACTTTGGTGTGCGGTAATTGTGTGTTTATTTTGTAATGGCCACTTTTGCATCACACCCCCTTGCAATTGAGATGTGAATCTCAAAGAAGTATCTTGTTTTAAGAGCTCTATATTGTTAAGAATAGCACAGTCTCCAACCAAGCAGGTACTCTCGAGTTTTAGGAATAAGAGCCGGATTTATAGTGGTTGCTGGAAATGACCGAATATTCCAGGTCTGAGTAAACATTTTATTTTGCTGCCTAAAAATGTGTAGAGCCCAGGGTTGGTGGCAGCACGTGTTTTGTGGGTTTCGTCTCTTCCTCATTTTGTTTTTAACATGTTCTAACTCTGCACTTACGCACACACAGCCACGCACACACACGCAGCCACATAGACCGACATACACTGAACAGATTCCAATAACACACGTACAGTGAGGGAAAAAAGTATTTGATCCTCTGCTGATTTTGTACGTTTGCCCACTGACAAAGAAATGATCAGTCTATAATTTTAATGGTAGGTTTATTTGAACAGTGAGAGACAGAATAACAACAACAAAATCCAGAAAAACGCATGTCAAAAATGTTATAAATTGATTTGCATTTTAATGACGGAAATAAGTATTTGACCCCCTCTCAATCAGAAAGATTTCTGGCTCCCAGGTGTCTTTTATACAGGTAACGAGCTGAGATTAAGAGAACACTCTTAAAGGGAGTGCTCCTAATCTCAGCTTGTTACCTGTATAAAAGACACCTGTCCACAGAAGCAATCAATCAATCAGATTCCAAACTCTCCACCATGGCCAAGACCAAAGATCTCTCCAAGGATGTCAGGGACAAGATTGTAGACCTACACAAGGCTGGAATGGGCTACAAGACCATTGCCAAGCAGCTTGGTGAGAAGGTGACAACAGTTGGTGCGATTATTCGCAAATGGAAGAACCACAAAAGAACTGTCAATCTCCCTCGGCCTGGGGCTCCATGCAAGATCTCATCGCGTGGAGTTGCAATGATCATGAGAACGGTGAGGAATCAGCCCAGAACTACACGGGAGGATCTTGTCAATGATCTCAAGGCAGCTGGGACCATAGTCACCAAGAAAACAATTGGTAACACACTACGCCGTGAAGGACTGAAATCCTGCAGCGCCCGCAAGGTCCTCCTACTCAAGAAAGCACATGCCCATCTGAAGTTTGCCAATGAACATCTGAATGATTCAGAGGACAACTGGGTGAAAGTGTTGTGGTCAGATGAGACCAAAATGGAGCTCTTTGGCATCAACTCAACTCGCCGTGTTTGGAGGAGGAGGAATGCTGCCTATGACCCCAAGAACACCATCCCCACCGTCAAACATGCAGGTGGAAACATTATGCTTTGAGGGTGTTTTTCTGCTAAGGGGACAGGACAACTTCACTGCATCAAAGGGACGATGGACGGGGCCATGTATTGTCAAATCTTGGGTGAGAACCTCCTTCCCTCAGCCAGGGCATTGAAAATGGGTCGTGGATGGGTATTCCAGCATGACAATGACCCAAAACACACGGCCAAGGCAACAAAGGAATGGCTCAAGAAGAAGCACATTAAGGTCCTGGAGTGGCCTAGCCAGTCTCCAGACCTTAATCCCATAGAAAATCTGTGGAGGGAGCTGAAGGTTCGAGTTGCCAAACGTCAGCCTCGAAACCTTAATGACTTGGAGAAGATCTGCAAAGAGGAGTGGGACAAAATCCCTCCTGAGATTTGTGCAAACCTGGTGGCCAACTACAAGAAACGTCTGACCTCTGTGATTGGCAACAAGAGTTTTGCCACCAAGTACTAAGTCATTTTTTGCAGAGGGGTGAAATACTTATTTCCCTCATTAAAATGCAAATCAATTTATAACATTTTTGACATGCGTTTTTCTGGATTTCTTTGTTGTTATTCTGTCTCTCACTGTTCAAATTAACCTACCATTAAAATTATCGACTGATCATTTCTTTGTCAGTGGGCAAACGTACAAAATCAGCAGGGGATCCGTCACTGTAAGCAGTCACAATGAGGACCACCATTCGCCACTGAGTGGTGGTGACTTCACCAAGGCACTTGTGCTAGGCTAGGTGCATTTATATTAGCACGGTTGGCAACGTACGGTCAGAGAGACGTTCAACATAATACTTTGAAGCTCCTTGAATGAAGTTTCGATGGCTCACTGCTGGTAGGTTACGGGACAGACTTTGGTGCTATGGGTTGACTGCCTGAGATGACGAATAGATGCACACATATACGTACACACAGACGACTCATATGAGTCACGTAGAAATACCCCCTGTTAGCGAGCACCTATGAAGGCCGGAACGGCACACGAGGGGATGGGTGGCCAACACCGCCTTTGTCTTCCTAGTGGCAACATACAGCTATGTACATATTTCCATACAGCAACACATACAAAACAAATATACCATACACTCTTTTAGAAATTAGGGGTAAGTGCTGTTAGCGAGCACATTAAAGCCATGAAGGTACACGAGGGAATGGTGTGGTCAGAACCACGATACCCAGTCAGTGGTGATGTTTACGCATCACACTTGGGTGTTCGTTCACTCGCCTCTCTTAACCGTGGCCAGGAATCGAACTGAAGTCTCTGGGTTCGTATGGCGCAGTGCGCAAACCATCCGAAATTCCCAACACATATACACAAGACAAAGATTCCCCGCATAGCCTGAACCCACCTTTGGGGCAAGTGCTGTTAGGGAGCATCTATAAAGGCTGGGCACGGCACACCGGGTGCGTTTGTGGCAACACCACGCCCGACCGCCTTTGTCTTCCCAGTAACGATATTTACACACCGCACCAGGTACTCAATTTGAGTCCACCTAGGGGAGGCCAATGACCGGTTCCGTTAATCGTCACCGGTGTTGGCCGTGAGCAGGAATCAAACTCGGGTGGCCAAGTTCGTAGCGCAGTGCGCTAACCGATGCGCCACCGCTCCCCACACACACCCACAAACAGAATCCCACACCGCAACACGCGCAAGGGCTCACACACCGAAGGCCACCATTCGCACTCTTAAGGTGCGCTGACGTGCCCACGCCCCCTCGTGCCAGGCTAGGTGCACTTGAGTCGCGGTGTCAATTGGATTTCATAATGCAGATTTATTTTTTGGGTTAGATCGCGTAAATATATCAAAGTGTCGTTAAATCCGCCACCGCCTGACACAGCCAATTAGTAATGTTTGTTACGTAAACAGAACGTGCAAATTTGTGTTGCCTGATGAAGCTGGTTGTAATTTGGGGCCGTCCATAAATGACGTCACGCACCTGGGGGGGGGGGGTCAGACATTTGTGACGAGGGGGGAGAGGTTTGAGAAATGTGACGTCACATCAAAATGCGCAACTGTAAATAAATATAGACAACACGTTCTACTTAATTAAATAGACTTTTTAATAAATGTTTTCTCCTACAATATCAGCGTGCAGCGCCACATTAAATACGCACTACAATGACAATAGTTTAGCATGTTTTTTTTGGGGGGGGGGCAGAGGTTTGTGACGTCATATTTGAGGGGGGGTCTGACTTTTTATGACGCCGTGTGACGAGGGGGGGGGGTCAAAAATCGTCCAAAATCGCGTGACGTCATTTATGGACGGCCCTTTACTGGCGAAACGTCGTGATCACATTGTAAATGTTGCGGCTTTGCTCTCCAGCATGCCGGTGTTGCTGTACTCGTAACGAATTGGCACGTTCTGTTCACGTGACAACCCTTACTAATTGGCTGTGTCGGGTGGTGGCGGGTTTAACGACACATTTATGTGTCGTTAAACACATTTATGTGTCGTTAAACCTGATGACGACCGTTTGTGTTATGGTCGAAACGTCGTGAGAATTTTTATTGTTATATATATTATTATTTTATTGTTTCCCTTCAACGTGACTTTACCGAAAGAGCTAAGAATACGTTTTCACGATGTCATTAACTTTGTGTACGTCCCCTAATCCATTTCACTCGTTCTGCCTCGGTTTATTTACCAGGACGCGCCCTTCCCATGCTGCTTTACGCTTTTTAAATGCTCCAAGTTTTGCAAAAATCATTCCTGGTTTTGGGATAATCTTCTGCAGGGATTGCACGGTCCATGAGCCCACACCAGGTATTGCACTTGTTGGTACCACGTAAGGGGCCGTCCATAAATGACGTCACGCACCTGGGAGGGGGGGGGTCAGACATTTGTGACGATGTGTGACGAGGGGGGGGGGTTTGAGAAATGTGACGTCACATCAAAATGCGCAACTTTAAATGAATATAGACAACACGTTCTACTTAATTAGACTTTTTAATGTTTTCTCCTACAACATCAGAGTGCAGCGCCACATTAAAAACGCACTACTCTTAGGAGGTGCAGAGCATATGTACAGCGATGCGATGCAGATAGCGATAGAAAACGGACGTCAACGCGATACAGTCCTGGGAGTAAACGAACGAGTCATCGGGTAGAGGAGGCACAACTAATTCCAGCGATGGGATTTTATCTTGATTTTGGGGGGAAATTGTTCAGTTTCCGACATACGGAACATTCGGTGTACGGATCGTTATCGGGAACCCTGGACCTTCCGTAACCCGGGGACTGCCTGTAGAGTAAACAAAAATAAAGTATTATCAGTCCTCGACTTACGACAAAAAATCCTTCCCTGAAGCACGTTCGTAGTCCAACCGTTCATAGGTCGGGACACAACAATGTGCTGTATTTAAATGGCCATGCGGTCAGTGTTATGAAATGTGTTACGGTTCAACAATAAAGGTAAGTCTTGTTAACTAAGAAATATTGAACATTTGCATGTAACACTAAAAAAAAATACTGCATCGTAAATAAAACATTAAATAAAGAAACACACATAGAAAATGCTCAGTTTTAATTTTCGCTTACCTTCAGTCTTAATGCTGGCTTGCTCGTCGGAGAGGGCGCATTGAGTCCCCACAATTCCACACACACAAACAGGGCACGTGCGCACACAGACAAAGTCCCCCCCCCCCCCCTCCCGTATAGCCTTAACAGACTGTTGGGGCAAGTGCCCCAACAGTCTGTTGGGGCACTTGCCCCCCTTCCCCACACGAGGGCCACCCTTCCCCACACGAGGGGAAGGATGGCCAACACTACGCCCGGCCGCTTTTGTCTCCCAGTGGTGATGTTCACACATCACACCAGGTCATCATTTGAGGCTGAGTCGACGTAGGGGAGGCCCATGACCGGTTCAGATAATAGTCACTTGTTTTGGCCGTGATCAAATATCGAACTTGGGAGTAAAAAAAAAAATTTCAGCTTCATTTATTTGGTATAGCCCTGTGAGCCGTTCGGCTCTTGAATAGCGCAGCGCTCTCATCATTGCACTACCACTCCTCACACGCACACAGGGGGCACGCGTGCGTGCACGCTCACTCACTCCTTGCGCGCGAGGTTGACATTATATCTCTACTCTTTGGTTCTTTCGGTAAAGTCACGTAGGTAGTGCGGGTGTTCGTAAGTCGAAGGTGGAGCTAATTTCTGCTTTGACACATGGGGACTATATATCCCTGCACTATTCAGTTCACCAAATATATAAATCTTCCTAATAGTTGTACAAAGGCGTTGTACAAAGGGTGGATTGGGACGATTCGGAATGCTCAGACTTTCTGCACGTTGTGGGTAATGCTCACCTCCATTGGTGGTCCTGTCAGTGGTGAAATTCAACATTCCTACGTCTGGTCTATCCAAATGGGATTGCACTCATAACCTTCCGATTACTACAGCCAGGGATTGCGGTGCAAACAACCACAGTACATATAGGAAACAACTCTGCAGAGGTTGGAAGTGGTCATTGAGTATAAACCGCATCACTGCCATATCACTTGTTTTTGGTTGCTTGTACTGCATCAATAACCCGAGCGCCTCACCACTTTCAATAGGATTTAGCTTCACCCTGAATGATGAGGAATGTAAATTGGTGTATAACGCAAGACTGAAGGCAATTTAGACATTCACGCCCGATAAAACCATTAAAGGGTTGTACATTTTTTTGGGACTCAATTAAAAAATGGTTTACAGATCGTTCTAATTATAACCAAAGGCTCGATTTAATTTGTGCCAAATTTCAGTTTTCTAGCCCTTTTGTAACAATCATAATGTATATCAGTCACTCGCTCGCGACTGTCTCTGTAAAATGTATTACGTGTTTCTGTGAATGCATGCAAAGTTAAAGCGTGTGCTTAATCAGACAAGCAGTGGGGCATTGCTCATGTCCATTGGTGGCCATGAGTCTGTGGTGTAAACTCAACGTTTCCGTAGTGGGGTCCAGTCCATCAACAGGATAACCAGTCAACTTCCCATAGAGTTGTACAGGCAATCCTCGGTTTACGCGCTTTTATGGTAGACCATTTCGGAAGAACGGACATGACATACGCCACCCTAGTCTGGCGCCGCGACCCAATGGCGTTACCAGCAGGCCGTGCGGTACAATAACTCGTGTGCTACAATAACTCGTGTGCTACAATAACTCGTGTGCTATACTGTACAGCGTCTCGCCGCGTGTACACCGGCGCTCTTCCCTTCGTCTCTCGTTGCCATCGTACCCTGTGAAGTTTGTGTCGCGTTCACCGCTTTCGTATTTCTTACTGTATTTCTTCATTTTCATTCATGCTAAGTATATGTTTAAATTATTTTCTTAATTTAACGTATTACATTGTGTACATGTATCGTATTGATATAGGCTAGGATAAGAGGCGATTATGTCTGCGAGTGTGTGAAATCCCCTAACCCCCTGCTTTGCCATTATCTCTTATGAAAAATAGCTTTTGACATACGCGATTTTGAGATACGCGCGCTCTTCCAGGAACGCATCTATCGCATATGTGAAGGAGTGTCTGTACTCATTTTATCAATAAAAAATGGATGAGCCGAGTTGACCACAAACCGATATCTGAAATACAAGGAATTGCACAACAACCTATTTGTTTAAAGTTTATTAGCTGGATGTAATGTTCGACAAATTATAAATCAACAAAAACACAAGGCTTTGTGTTGGCCACATTGTCGCATGTGTAAATGTCAGATAACAGAACTACATCAGTGAGTTGCGCCTTCTGGAATTCCTGCAGGCAAAAGAGCAATCATGTCATCTTACCAAGGAACAACCCCAAAAGTCAATAACACAATTACTCAATGTGTCCCTTTCAATAGATTTTCTTCAACAATAAAGACAGTGTTCTATAAAGAGTGGTTCACCACATGTAATTAATCCAATATACAATATTTACAAATTTAAGCTCTCAATATTAGGCCAGGCTGGATTATGTGAAAACTGAAATGTATTAAAGAATTGTCTTTTAGACAACTTATTACATACAGAAGCCTGGTTTAATCAGAAATGGCTGCATGGTATTTTGAACTGAGACATGGTCATTGTGAGTGATGATGGCGATGATGCAACTGAAGATGGTGATGTGCTGAGGACGGTGGTAATGATGCTCGTCAGATGTAGAGAGACCCGTCGGCAGGTCCGATGTATCCGATGGCGATGAGCAGCACATCCAGCAGCGTCCACACGCCCAGGCCCCCAAAGCTGAATAGTTTCCCCAGGCCTTCTCGCCACTGGCCCAGGTAGAAGCGATCAGCTCCAAACCCACCAAGAGTCACACTGCACATGCACAATTACATCCCAGATCAATATACCAGCTAAATGTAACTGCATCTCAAGCACTCAATGCGGCATGAACATCCTGGGGAAAGGACCATTTTATGTATTTAAGAGAGAAAGAAAGTCATGTCCAGATGAATAAGGACGAGTTTGAAACCTGGACTTGAGCAGGAAGTAAACAATGGGGAAACATAACACAAATGAGCAACCTCCCACTGAGAATAAATTGACTGTGGAATTTAATAATGCATTGGGTTGCTGGTGTAGAGGGGGTGTGGTGGGAAGTAGAGTGTGATGAGAGGGGAGATGAAGGAGCGAGTCCATGGAGGACCTTTAAGACATCGAGTGCTAATCTTTAAGTTGATATGGAACCAGTGGATAGATTTACGTATTCGGATGTGGTTTTATTTATGAGTCCATTCTCTCTTCTTTTTGACATGGTTCTTTGCTGAATTAATTTAAGGTGGAGGGGCTATCAGGCCTTCAAACTCGCTCAGCACCCCATAAGCCACTGTGGTGGATATGAGCAAGTAGAGGGTAAATAACTGACCAAGGTCAGCCTTTCCCCCAACAGGACTCACAACATACCAGTGTAGCTGTGGAGATTATTTGCCAGCCAACTAAGACCCTACATATAGCCTTTAACAGACTTTTGATGAATGCTGTAAGCGAGCACCTATGAAAACCTGGACGTCGCACGAGGGAGGGGGGGGGACACCACATCTGGTTGCCTTTGTCTCCCCAGTGCTGATGTTTGCACACTGCACCAGGTACTCATTGATGGTTGAGTCAACCTAGGGGAGGCTCACCAGGACCAGTTTAAATATCTGCCAATGTTATTTGGCCATGAGCAGAAACCGAACTCAGGTCGTTGGGTCTATAGCGCGTGCTAACCACTGCACCACCGCTCCCCACAGATGAGCGCACGTACAACAAATACACACAAAAATAAAATCCCAGAGCTTGGGACTTCAGACCTGAGTGTGAGTGCTGTTGCCCACTTGTGGCCACCCGTCCAGTCACAGTAGAGCATCTTCATGAAGGTGCGTTCACCTGCACACATAAATATCTCCATTATAGATTGCAGGGTCAAATGTCATTAGTGGGAGGGCAGTGTGGCCAACGCTACACCTTGCTGTCTTTGTCTCCGCAGCGCTTATGAAGGTTGAGTCAACCTCGGATAAAACCAGAAGTGGTTTAGATATTGGGGATTGTAGCACAGTGCACTAACCAGTTAACAAACTGATGCTCGTCCCCACACACATGTACACACCTGCATGTAAAAACACACGTGAACCGGCATATGTAAGGTGCATGCAGATCTGCATGCAGCCACATCCATGGAGATAAAAGCAGATACATATCTGTGCATGTATGCAGGTGTGTGTATAAAGTGTGCGTATGCACGAGTGTGTATCCAGGACTATACCTGTAAAGTATGTGTATGTATAGATACACATGCATGCACACAAGGCACATGAAGCCACACAGGCACTCTGGACACACCAACAGCAACCGCCATTCCCCACTAAGTGGCGGTGACTTCACCGTAGCGCTTGTTTATGGAAACCTCTCCACAACTGCCTCATCACCAATGGGGAGTTGGGGGAGTGGAGTGTTTTATGAAACAAAATTCATAGGCAGGTACTCGGTTTTGGTGGGAATGATAAGGCTCCACCTGTTAGTATCACACTTCAGGTTTAATAGAAGTGTCTCCAACTCCTTCTCTGAGCAGCAATCACCAGATCATCAGCATACATAACATGGTTGACCAATAGGGATCCTTCCCTCAACCGCACATGGGCATCGATCAGCCTCCCATTGTATCTGTACCAGATTGAAATCCCTCCGGTACAGCTATGGAAAGCTTCTCAAACTACGTTGTCGAAATATGTTAAATAATGTAGAAGCCAGAGGACATCCGTGTCGCACCTCAAGGTGAACAGGGAATGGCTCCGACTCTCAGCCACGCAGCTTAACCCAGGCCTGCCCACCATCACAGCCCCAGCAGGGTCATCGCCACCTTGCCTCATTAAATGATTTGGGCTGAGGTAATTCCCCTCCCCCAAGACACCACCCCACAGGCACACACAACCACTCTAAACAGGTTAGTGGTCTGTTGGGGCGAGGAGTGGTGGTGAGGTTAGCATTCAAATAGCAATTGTGCAAGTGAGTCGGTGAGAGAGAGAAGGTTCTGACCGAGGCAGTGCACATCAGGTAAGGCGGTGCAGTTGGCGCGCGTGCGGGCACGAGGACACCCAGCCGAGGGACAGGAGGTGCTGTTGGTGCAGTGGTAGAGGGAGGGTGGCAGCTGCCAGCAGAACCCGCACGTCAGATTTACGGACATCTCCCTGGGCCCCTGGGGACACACGGGGACAAGCAGATCAGCCTGAATGTGTCTGATCTTGCAGAATAACATAAGCATTGAGTCTGGTCAGGATTTAGATGCCCGGGAATATCAGGTGTTGTAAGCTTGGGCTGCTAGGTGGCCGTGAGGTGACATTACAGAAATGGATTCTTGACTATTTGTGCTGAGCTTTGAGTGTTACCCCATCGTATTTGTGGATATTCTCTGGATACTGGTTTCCTGCCACATGTCAAGCACTCATTATTGGGCTAAACATCCTAAAGCAAAATCCTGAAAAATAGTCTTGGCCCAGTGAGGCTTTCCTGGATTAAAAAAAAGACACGAGAACACAATAAGATACAATGATGAACAAAGATTTAAATGACAGTGATGTCATTCTAAATCATGTGTGTATGTGACTAGAGACATATGGAGGGGTGTACATGGGCCTACACATGGGCACATACTAAATAAGTGTACAGAGACAAAAGCAGGCACACAGGTTCGCACACATACACACACAGACGCGTAATAGCACATAGCGATACACGGAGATAATTAGAAACACATTGACACAGTGGGACCCAGGGACACGCAAATAAATTGATGCACGGGAACAACGACACGGGGATACAGAGACAACTAGGGGAGCACGTATAGATACGTGGAGACACGCGAGGACATTCAGGCACATGGACGGCGACTCCCAGGAATGCATGAAAATGTACTTGCTCGCACGCACGATGAAACACGGGGAAGACAGACACAAGTGGCGACTCACAGGAATGCATGGAGAGATGCTCCAACTCACACGAGACGCAAGGAAAAATGGGGGTAACACAATGATTCCATACCGCATGGGGATGCACTGTCTCACACAGACACATGGGAACAAACCGTGCAGTGCACGCCAGCACGGGGTGAGCAGGAGCCCGTGGTGTTGTGACCGTACACACAGGAGCTGTTGTAGGTGCAGTTAAGGCACTGAACAGGAAGAGAGCGGCAGGCGACGTCCGCAGGGCAGAGACGCACGACCTCTTGCATAACTGATGGGGTCAAGGGATGTGCAGATTCACAGTGCGGCAGGAGACATGACGACATGTGGAGACAAGGACACGGGGGGAGGGAGGGAACATTGGAGACACAAAGGGGAAGTTTTTTCATTGACAATTATGATAATTAAATGTAAAATATGAATGCAAGTGCTTTGCTAATCATATATTACTAACATTTATTATCTAAACGTAAATGTTACAGTGAAAAACCTCGTGAATCTTTATATTTGCCAAAACTCGTTATCCATGGATATTTCATTGATAAGAAGAGTTGTGCAGAAAACGCCTATTACCCACACTTATCCATGGCCGAGTGCTTGTGGTTTCTCGCTGTGGAGTGACGATGATGGATGAAGATCGTGTTGATGCTAGCGATGGCATGACAAATGGCACTGGACTCTTATTTGCGGACAAGAGGTGTCCAGCGGTAGGTCCCTTCTAACATGCATGTTTATCCTAGGGTGAGAGAGTCGCCTGGAAGTGGTCCCCAAAAGCGCTACACCGGAAGCGGTGGAAATATTCTTGTATCCGCAGACATCTACACAGGTAAGAAGGGGATCATTTTGTGGATAAACGTGGATCCGCAGATAGTGCCCCCCCCCCTCATATCAACTAAGAAGATTCACCTCCCCCTCCCCATGACAGTTGTTTTCAGAATGTTTGTGTAAGTTTAAGATTTTTCTGTGTTAATATTCTAACCCCCTATGCTGCCGTTTCACCTTTGACTACAACTGTCTGTATTGCTTTCGCACCCCAGGTCTCCCATTAAAAAAATATACTTTTAGGCATGTATCTAGTCTGAAATACTGCGACTGCACGGAGGACAAGACTGGAGGGAGACATGTTGAGGAGAAAGCCAGACTCAACAAAAACGGGTTTAATTTTAGGTAGGTGCCATCCAAGAATTAAAAACACGTGTTGACGACGGTCATTGTAAACTGCTCCAACAGGTAGCCAGCCATTGTTCTTTACAGAAGCTGTGTGAGGGTTCACTCCCCTCTCACCATCCTCAGCCGAGCTGTCCGACGTCCACGATGTAGCTCCTGGCAGCATGGAGAGACAGGAGATCGCTACCACAGGGACATGGGAGGCACAAGGAGACAATCAAATGTGTGCGTCAGTATGCTTACTAATATGTGTGCAGTACCTATGACTGTGTGCACGTGCATTACATTTTTTTCCCATTTTCAATCCAGAATCTGAATATTTATACTGGAGGAATCCGATGAGCTATAAAGCGCTTTTTCACAGACGCCCAGTCGGGGCGGGTAAGAACATCACTGACAAACAATACAAAAACACTGCTGGATGAAAACTTCTCAATACCGTGTCGGCAAGTAAGTTGATTCACCATACTTCACCACACTTATCAAAGGGCTGGGTGAAGGGGTGGTGGTGGCCCAGTATGTGTATAATGTGCGGTCTACTGTATTTTACGTGTATAGTTGCGCATGTGCATAACTGTACTGTAAATGTGTTAATGTACATATGCACAGTATTTCAAGGTGCATATCTGTACAGTGTATACATGTACTATATGAGTATATATATACCGTACCTGTACGCTATGTATTTGACTTAATGGCTACATTAAGAAATTGTATGCGTATGCAGTTTACACACTGCACATGTGCTATATGTAAAAAGCTTAGAGCTTTTTATCAATCCGCCTTTGGATGAAAATCCCCCACGCCGTGTCGGTCAAGGAGATTGCTTGACCAGACTTCACACTGTAGAGTGTATATGTGGAGGGCAGTGCTCAAACGCACTCAGCTACAAACCCGGCCTGCGGCTAACACCAGTGGCGAGTGATACCTTGAACCCTTCCTTCCTTCCCGTCTCGGGCTGCCTTGAGTACCAGCAGCTACCGGAGAACACAAAGCCGGCCGCGCTTGGCGCGGTCAACACCACCCACCCCACGCACTGTCCCGGCCTTTTCCATCGGTGCCTCACCAACAACACTCGAGTTTACTGTACACACACACGCCGATCTGTACCCGCCAGGATGAGCACCGCGACGCGTCCGCTCCTCCAGCCTGCAGCTGTCCCTACGACTGCAGCAGTAGCAGCAGCAGCGACAGCTGCTCCTTGCGCTCCTCCTGCAGCTGCTCCGACCGCTGCTGCTGCTGCGGCTCCTTGCGCCGTGCACCGCGACGCCGCCTCCATGACGGCCCCGATCCACGCCGTCGCCACTTCCTGTTGTTGTGACGTCACGTCCGGGGCGGGGGAAGAGGCTCCTCTTAGCCAATAGCAGCGGAGAAGCCCGCCCCGTACACCGAGAGTGGGCGGGCGGGGGGGGGCAACAGAAGGCAAAGTGCCCCCGTGTAACCTTTAACGGGATTCATATTGTTGGGTCTTTCGGTAAAGTCACCACGTAGAAGGAAAACAATAAAGTAATAAAATATAAAACAATACAATTCTCACAACGTTTCGACTGCAACACAAGCAATCATCATCAGGTGTGAAAACCACAACAAGAAAATTTGAAAAAAGTAGCCACTTTTTTCAAATTTTCTTGTTTTCTTTGAAAAAAGTGGCCACTTCTTAAAAAAAATATTCTTGTTGTGGTTTTCACACCTGATGATGATTGCTTGTGTGGCAGTCGAAACGTCGTGATAATTGTATTGTTTTATATTTTTATATTATTTAATTGTTTCCCTTCTAACGTGGTGACTTTACCGAAAGAACCAAGAATATGAATCCCTGCAGTCACGAAAGCTTTAAATCAAAACTTTAACGGGCTGCTGGGGCAAGTGCTGTTAGCGAGCACCCTATGAAGGCAGGCACGGCGCCACCAGCGCGTGGGGTAACCACCCCCACTGATGTTAACGGAACCCACGGGGCAAAAATAACGGGGACTGTTGTTTTAAGGCCGGGTCAAACTGTTTGAGGCCGGTGCTCCAGGATTCATTCACTTGGAGACATTCCGTCAGCGATGTTGACTCGTGAACTGGGATGCGCCCACCGCCGCTCCCCACAAGGGGAGGCCCTGTCACTGTCTCACCCCTCTCCGGCACAGATTGTCCACGAGCCAGACCAGAAATCGGTTCGCAGTAACCGCCCAATGCAGCAACTCCTCGTTTGGTCGTCCCACCATTTATTTGGTTAATAACAGTGTATTATTTGATAAAGCACTCATTTGAAATGGTTTTCACGAAATGTACTTAAGTGGTCATATTAAGACGTTGGAAGCGCTAAAATTACAACCCTTGGCGCCTGTTGTATGCATGTTGAACTTCTTTCGCACCGTACGTAGCCAACTGAGCGAATCGGAGATGCGGGGTTGTCCCAACATCCCATGTTCACGAAGGTATTTGAAGCGCTTGAAACACGTCAAATATGACAAAAAAAACCTCCCGTGTCGCCGACAATGTAGGTCACACGGGTTAGGCTTGTTTTGCTTTTTAAAAAATGCGAATTTGAACCCATTGGAACCGGTTTGACATATTCTGTAACTGATTCAGTCGGTTTTGCAATAACCCGAACCGTACCCAAATGTATCGGTTCGACTCCCTGAACTCTATCGCCTTAAGTTGTTCCCGTAGCATGGACCGTGTTTTTATGACCGGCAGTGGGCGTCTCGCTCAAAATCAGTAACCCTTTACATAAAACATCTGTGACGTCTGACATTATTTAAGCTGGCCTGCCTATGATCCAGCCTGGGTTCAAGTAGATTGAATTGTATGAGCTCACAGTGTGCTCCTCTAAAAGACAGGGATGCATTGCCTGGGTCATCATGATGAGCTCCCATACCCAGTCTCAGCATCCCCACGCAGATTATGGTCCTTGGGCCAGGCCAGATATCGGTACCACCCAAGGTGGAAAAACTTCAATGGTGCCATTTAATTTGTTACATCAATAGAAGTAAAAGAATACATGATATCCTTTCCAAATGAGCAGCTGTTTAATTTTTCTCGCAGGAAACCTGTTTTTGCACCTATCGAAATCACACCTATTTGCCCGGACGTTACAAATAAAACATTCCAACACCTCTGCTGTTAATTAAGACAATAATTAATTAACAAAATGGATGTTTTTCCCCAAGGCATGTATTTCGTACATATTCTTGCATTCATTGAATTTCAGTGACTTAGTTAAGCCTGGAATAGATTGGCGCTATCTGTTTTCCTTCTGTTTCTAGCAGCTTGTTTGCTCATGATCATTTACTGGCAGGTGAGGCAAGTACTGGTGGTTCTGTATTATTTCTGTTCAGTGAAGATATCTAAAGTGCTAACTTTACCCTCAATGTATTGTTAATGTACCTGTTAAGATGATTAATTAAGGCCAGGTACTACAGGAAAAAATAATGATTTTTGTTCAGTTTGCCAATTTTTATATTTTTTTATATTTTGCTTCTATAAATTGTCAAATTTCATAACATGCACACAATTATTAACAACAAGACCAGTCTCATCAAGTTTCTGGTGGAAGAGTGGAAACTCCCACGATACAGAGAGATGCTGCATGGCAAGGTGCTGTACATGGCCTTTGAGGAAACCTGCTACACGTTGACAGAAGATGAGTGTGAGGAACTAGCAGAGCTGCACTCCACGCATGAAGAAGCTGACACCCGTCTGCTCCCGCATGCACTGCATGCAGCAAATGTGGGCTCAAAGGCAGTTATCATCACAGCTGAGGACACTGATGTCATGGTGCTTTGTCTTGGCTTTCAGAAGGACATCACCTATCCCATATACCAGAAGTGTGGAACAAAGAACCGCACACAGATTGTGGATATGAGCAAACTGGCAAGGTCACTTGGAGACAGCATCTGTGACAGCCTAATTAGCTTACACACATTCACAGGCTGCGACACTGTCAGTGCATTCGCCGGTCGAGGGAAGCTGAATGCACTGAAGATGGTGAGAAAGGGCACTTACTGCCAAGAGACTTTTAGTCGACTGGGGCAGTCATGGAATGTGATGAGCTGTTCCAGAAAATTGAGCAGTTCACCTGTCGAATGTATGTTGCTAATAGCAGCACTGGTGAGGTGAACGAACTGCGCTACCAGCTCTTCTGCACCAAAAGGGGAAAATTCGAGTCCAGCCAGCTGCCACCTTATAGAGACTGTCTCTTCATGCATGTTCAACGAGCCAACTATCAGGCAGCAATCTGGAAGTGCTGTCTGCATGCTAACCCTGTGGTGTCAAGCCCTACTGGGTATGGATGGACAGACGATGATGGCAAGCTGGCCATTTACTGGATGCGCTCTCCACCCCGCACCAGATGTGGTCTTGGAACTGCTCGCATGCAAGTGTGTACATTCATGCAAAATGTCAAGCTGCACGTGCCTGTCAAATGGACTGACATGCACAGACATGTGCAGGTTACAGACCTGCAGTAACCAAAAACTGCAGGATGATCCAGAACATGACTTTGAACTCGGGAAGTCAGATGACGAGATAGACGAGCCGTTTGATGAGTGACACAGGGTGGTGATTCTGATTGTATTACTGCGGTAGTAGTAGTAGTATACATTGATGCACAGTATGGTGATTCTGGACTTGGTTACCCTTGTTAACACCATCTAAGTACACACAGAGCTTGATAAAAAATAATGTAGCCTTCTTCACATATACCCATCACTAACGATATATATGGGATTACATGTATCATTGACTAAGTATATGCAAATGTTCATCATATTCAAGTAGTTCCCTACCTGTGTTTTCATTGTGTATTTAAATCAACAAAGCCCAGTTTGTAACCTACCTGGCTTCGGTCTAGGTAGTCTTTCAGTAATAATGCCCATTTCATCGTTCCGGACGCCTGTCATAGGGTATGGGTATAAAAGTCATGGTAACTACAACTGCCACTTCGCAAAGGTTATCATATCAGAATATGTCCCACACACATTGAGGATTACAAAAATCATACTAGACTTTGCCACCTCAGGTGGTACCAATAAGTGTGTTTTATTGGTCTGGGTCCATTGGCTATTCTGTTTGGCTAGACGAGGGGTCGGCAACCTGTGGCTCTGAAGCCGCATGCGGCTCGTTAAAGACTGCTTCGTGACGTTATTCACATTCATTGCAGCTCTTGAAATATTGAGGACAATAAAAAAAATAGCCTTTCTAGTTACGTAAATGTTGATTCCGACCCCTGGGCTTGACAGAGGTAACTTGGTGCGGCGCAGGCTAGAGATGGAAGATTATGCAGCATAACGTTGTAAACAATCAATGTTGGGACAATGTTGGCACGTGGTTGGAACCGCTGGACCAACATTGGCCAAATGTTCCATGTGTATGGGGAAATGAGCAGGACAAGCAGTGCGGCTGTCAGTTGACCCCAATTCCAATGACCTCATGCCAGCGAGCCTTCGACACTTTAAGCGGCCTCAGGGTGCACCTAGCCAGGTTAAAATTCCTTGGGTGACATGACCATCACGTAGTGTTAATTTGCAGTGATTGTGTTGGAATGTGGTTGGCCAGGTTCTTAACACTGTTCTAGGACCTGGGCCCCTGAGTTGTTATACCTGGCCACGGCTAACATCAGTGGCCTGTGAACCGATCTTGGACCTCTCCTAGGTCAGGTCAGTTTCTAATGAGCACATGGTGAAAAGTAATTATGAACGTATCATTTATTGTATGTAATGTGCATCGCAAGTAAATAATATAGCCTTATACGCATGTATTTCCCTGATGATTGTTATTATTTTCTGAAGTATTATCATGAGATAAATAAATAGATTTTGCTTGATGAATATATGCATTGTGACTAGCTTATGAAACATTTAAAAGTTATACGTTATAAACACGGTTTTATGATTGTTTACTCACTTATAGACTACATAAAGGTAAAGTGATTATTATATAAAGTTATTATCAAACTGGAATCGTGAAATGTGAAACCGATTAGCGGAAATATTAGGTTTTGGTAAATGATGAAAATCTGGAGAGAAACAATGAGCACGTAACCGGCGAAATCTTGATACAAAATAAGAGTAGATCATCGATTATCCAGCGTGCGATATTCCGTCTTCCAACATGATCCGCCGATCCGGCAAAACCGGAATGCCATCGGGGCAATTGCAGGAAAACTGCTCCAAAGGCTTTAAGGGGCCGTCCATAGTTGACGTCACGCGATTTTTGACGATTTTTGACCCCCTCCCCCCTCGTCACACGGCGTCACAAAAAGTCAGACCCCCCTCAAATATGACGTCACAAAGCTCTGCCCCCCCCCCCCCAAAAAAAAAACATGCTTCAAATCGCTT